TAGACTTTCAGTCTTGTTAGCCTTTATTTACCCATTGTTGGTTCACTGGGCTTAAGAATCTTTTCCAGGAACACACTGCTGCTCATTCAGATATTTTCAGCTGCCAAGTACAACCACACTCTGATCTTTTGGCAACTGAGCAGCTCCACTGGAGCACTTTTCACTTCACAGAATTTCACTGCACAGACATTTTTGTTCAAATCTAGAGATTTAACAGGAGCTTGATATGTTTTCCCTTCAATTTATTCAATGCATTTTATCTAATGAGACTTTTGTTCTATTACTTCAGCAGGATTTCATCAGTGCATAAGAGCTGTAAAGTTAAAAATGTGCAGTGTGTTTGATGTCCTTTCATTTTGTGTTCCACAAACACAGTTAATACATTGGCTGTTGTCTTATTATCATCTTATAGTCCCTTAGTATAAATTGTTTTTTTTTTTTCACTTCAGTCAAGGCACAACTGCACTTAAAGGAAGAGCATATTACACCTGTTTAATCATTTCTATATGTCATTGAAAACTATTTTGAAACTGCTGACTTAGAATTAGCTAGAATGATTTGACACTTTCAGAGGTAAAGGTCACTGCAACAAACACTCCATGACACGCCGAGACGTTACAGATGTCTGCTTCCCTCTATTCTTAACCCAAATGACCACTTATGTTAGAGACTGATGTGGTTGAATGTTAACCTGTCAGTTGTTAGCCATTACATTCAAGTATGAGAGGAAATCATGCATTGTGTGTGTGATTGAAGTGAGCAACCACTGTGTCTCCACTATGTGTTGTTTCTTAATACTGATCCTGTGAAAGTTGGCTTACATACACAGACAAGCAAACATCTCATAACAGCTGCACAATTTGCATTGTTGTTTCTGTGAGTCTGCATTAAAAATGATGACTGAACTGCTAGAATACATTTCTTTAAATAGAATTCTGCAGGGATGACTTATTCTTGTAGACCAACCCGGAAGTTGGCGTCTCCCTGGTTCCTTTGACTAAAGCCAATGCGTTTTTCCATTGGATTTTGGATTGTTGCAGAAAATTAGCTCTGTGGTGAACACAGGTTTATGATACTGTATATTTTGTTCAGCCAGTAATCTTCACTAATGAACAGCACTTTTATGATTTTTGAAGCCTAAATGCAATTGCTAGAAGTAAAAAACTAACGTTAGGCTATAAAAGAACTACACTACAGTCGCAATTAAAATCTACAAGTTGTAAAGTTAAGGCGGTCTAATGAGGTAATAATGTCACCAATGTGTGTTTAAGACAACCTTTGTAGTCTCATTTAACTACTTGTTAGCAACTGGCTTTTTTAAGACACGTAAAAGCTTCAACATTCACAAATTGTAGGTCATAGAACAAAACGTGAAAATCTTTTTACAGTCATCTAACCAAAAAACCCATTCAAAGCAGCCACTGAGTTCCAGGAGAGCGAGCTGCAGGTGCAGACTTGTTAACTCAATCCTGCAGCACTCTACTGAGTAAATGATTAGACCTTACTGCATTATACTTGAATGTTTCTGAGAAAAGGCAGGGCATCATCTAACTGCTTATGGTCGAACAAAACCACTGTATTTATCTCCGGTCTGCTCAGCAACAGCAGAGAACCACCTCAATGTTAAGGGCTTACTCAGAGTTGATCTTCAGTGTCCACTGTGTCCAATCAGTGTAGGAGCGCCCCACTCTGTGTTCATTTCTGATCATTACATCGCCACACAGTTTTTTTAAACAAATTATATTTTTTGTGGCTATCTGTCAGCACATGATAAATTTGATTATTTTTTACAATAAAAGTTGTGCAGTTATAATTGTACATCATAGAAACTGCTGTGATCAGTATTGCTGTTTTTGTATTGTTTTTTTTTGGTTATAATGATTCAGTAAGCATCTGACTATAGGCAAACAAAGACAAGTTGCTTTTCTCTGCCATGAAGGTCACTGTTTTTCAGCTCTAAAATGTGACTGGTCTGTCTGATGTTTATTTTCTATGTTGAGGTTTCCTCTGTGCCCATTAAGGAAATGATGATGTGATTTATTTACCACTTTAACAGCTCATGATCCAACGGGAGGTAGGCTGGTGTCCCGGTGGGTGGGTGTGGAGCTCTTTATGCATTATACCTGTGCTCTAATGACACTGTTCTCCAGGAATATTCCACAGAGAGCAAACAGTTTGCCTACTGTATAGTCCACTTACTCCTTATTACTTTCAGTTGGACAGTAGAGGAAACCGGATGTGTCTGTGTCTCTATGTCCCTGTGTCCAGTGTGGACCACAATGTATTTGAGTATTTTGAATCACATGGATTACCATCTGGAACAAAGTCAGTGTTGAAGCTGAGTTTATTTCTACCTTTGCATGAATTGATGACATATCGTAAGTGGAAAAAGGTATGAATGAAAACCTTTGCTATGTCCTCATTTGCTGTAATTTAAGATTATTAAGTTATCTGCTGGGTTAGAGGCACAATCTGTGTGAATGAATTAATGTTTGTGATTTTACCTAAAACGGCATTGTCATGTCAGTAGGAAACTGCTTTTTATTATGTATGCTATAATTCTTTAATTTAAGGAATGTACCAATACGCGCTAAAAACATCCACTGGCCAAACAAACTCAAAATTCTACTCAATTCTACTTTGGATGCTTAATCGTTCTAACCAACTTCTGATCAGACTCCTCACTTTCTACAAAGTCTGACCTACTGCTCCTGACAGAGTCCTGGTGCCACAGCATCACAGCCTGTGTGGCATACATGCATGCATACATAACTCATGTTATTTAATTAGTGGAGTAGTAGAAGCACTAGCCTTCAGAGATTCTAATCTGCAACTGCTAGATGCCACTAAATCCTACACACTGGTCGTTTAATACTTCCTCTACTACAGTTGCATTACCATGTCATGATAATATTGTAACTTCAAAGCCATCTAAAATATGTAAAGATGCTACAAAAAATGTTCAGGTAAATGTTTTTCTGGCTCCTACCGGCTTTGCTTTATGATTGACAGGTTGTCCAACTGTGTCCGTCTTGTAAACAGGATATCTCAGGAACACCTCAAAGGAATTGCTACAGATTTGTCACAAATGTCCACTTGGACTCCAGAATGAACCGATCAGAATTTGCACAAGTGACATCACAACACACTATGACAATGTGACACAGATGTTTAATGAGATACAACGATGAAGTGATTATGTTTTTTTCCCCCGAAAAGGTCAAAGGTCAGCTTCGCTGTGACATAATGTTCTGGGGAAAAAAACTTTGTTGGATGTTATGCTACACCATAACTCAGGAACAGAAGGGGAGATTGTGACCATATTTCACAGTTGGTCGAACACTGAACTGGTGACACTTGGCTCAAAGGTCAAAAGGGCAGTGTGACCTCAAAATAGGTTTTAATCAAAATCTAAGAATGAGTTCTAAGAATTGGCTGATTCCAGACTTCACAAACATGTTGACTGGGACGACACAATGAGTAAACAATAGTACAGGTTTTCATCTTTCCATTTCATCCATTCTGCCTTTCACTTCCTACCTCATTCTAAATTTCAAGTGTCATCGGAATCACATTACTGCAAACAACTTATTGTAGCACACCTAGCTAATAGTAATCATGTGAGTGAGTGACTTTCATGTACAGCTCACAAACCACTTTTATATCAAGGCAGTTGGAGGGTTGCTTAGGAGCCGGTGCCTAATCTGGAACCAGTTCTTTGCGTTTCGACAGCTAAAGAACCAACTCTCGGCCAGGAAAACTGGTTCCAGTGCAACACTAACACTTTGCTGGTCTAGAACCAAGAACAACAGGGGCTGGGGGTGCCTTGTGGCCAACCAGCTATGTATTTATTAGCAGTTTAGCACATAGGTGTTACAAACGTAACAGTGAGCTCGCTAGCTAGCTGTTGGTCAGCCTACATAACCCAAGCAAGCATACTACTAATTTCACACATGAATGTTTTATTTGTAACTTTGATGTTTCGTTCGAGGTCAGTAACCTTGTTGAGAAATTGGCTATGCTTTCTAGGGTAATGTTAGCTGACCAACAGCTAGCATGCCAGCTAGTGTATCTTTGGTAACAATAGCTCAGGTTGGAGACGTATACAGTGACGTAATGACGTGGCCCTATGGTGGCTCTCTGGCCTGTGGAAAAGCAAACTGGTTCTAAAACTCTGAACCTGCACCAGCCCAGAACTAGCACTAGTTTTGCGTTAGTGGAAAGGGTGTAATAGAGAGCTGTTGCATCTAATAATCCAAGGAGAAAACAGAGAACACACATACAAGAAACATACAACACCACAGGGTTGTAATTCTGGTTCAGTAATATGGTTAATTGTAGAAAAAAAACAGACATCCAGTCCCTCAAACAGTAACCTGTGGACTGGTCTCCATCCTGTGAGTCCAGTGGTGCACATGGATGATTTTTTTCTCATGCTCAGTCAGTTTTACCCACTCGCTCGCAGAGCAAATCATTTGTTAAAGTATTGCTCAGGTGCCAGAGAGAGACAAACATGTAGATTTCCTCTCTGGCCTGCGCACCCAGCTGTTCCTTCCCTCAGGCAGCCATTTCCTACCAGTAAGTGTATATATTCATGTTCCATAATTCCATGTAAAAATCCTTCCGGTTGGCTTGGTACACTGTATTGGGAGAGAGTGCCGCGGACTGTCTAAAGATGCCTAATAACCTGATATGTGTGATGGCTGTAAAGTGGGCTGAACTGCAGGCTAAGTCAACAGTGTACAGATGGTAGGAGATGGTGGAAGCTTTGCTCTTACCTCTGCTGCTATTTCTCACATGACTCTGTCCACAAAGCAGTATGGCTTTAATAACAGCACTGAATTGGTTCAAGTTAATATCCTTTCTAGATAAAGTTACAATATACACAGCTTAAACATGTTGACCAACATTTTTAAAGCTTTTTTTCCCTGTCCCCCATCTCACATGTTGTTTCTCCATGGTCCCTCAAAGGTTTCTCTTGTCTCTTTCTCTCCCTATAGAAAATAGTGAAAGCAGGGGACAAAGACCTGGACGGACAGTTAGACTTCGAGGAGTTTGTTCATTATCTCAGAGACCATGAGAAGAAACTCCGGCTGGTCTTCAAGAGTCTGGACAAGAAGAATGATGGTAAGGGGTCCTGTTAAAATGAGTTTTCAAGTCTGCTGTTGGTTAGTGAGGGCAGATAGAACCAACACAGTATCACAGAAAAAATAGAGGGTTACTCACAAGAGACAGAATAAAGAAGAATGCACTAGTCTGGGTCAAGCTCCCAAAAAAAACTCTGGGTCCTTTTGTAAGACTCAATAGTTACTTCAAGGACTCATAGGACATTATACAGCTGTACAGGAGCGTTCCTCACTGTAACCAGTAAACTTGCCTTCATATATAAAATCAGTGGAGTTCAACTTCACTTAATAAATAACTAATTTACCTCTGCCGTGCAGGCCGGATTGACTCACAAGAAATTATGCAGTCTCTGCGTGACCTGGGAGTGAACATCTCAGAGGAACAGGCTGAGAAGATCCTCAAAAGGTAAGAGTGACGCCGTGATTCACCCAAATCTATTTACTCCATTTCTGTATGTGTATATGTGATGTGTCCCATCTTTTTCGTTCTGTAATACGTCACATTTTTACGCATGTGATTGGATTGTATAACCCCTCCTAACAACTACAGGCAATAGTTTTTGTCATATCTGTAAATGAAGTTACACTGTGAAACTCTTTTCTTTAATTCAATTCAATTCAATTTTATTTGTATAGCGCCAATTCTTTAGCCTCTTTCAAATATGCACCTGTAGAAGTACATGCATTTTCAACACGACACATCTGAACTTATTGCCATCAAATTAACGTAAAGGCTGAGTTCAATGCACAGACCAAACCAGAAACCAGAAAACACAGTGAATGAGCAATTTTATATTGTGGAGGACAGGGCTGAGCAATATGGTCAAAATCTCATATCCCAATGTAGCTAATTTCATATACAGATAAGAATACATATCACAATACAGCACATTTTCTGTTCAATTCAATAAAAAAAACTTTATATAAAAAATTCTAAAACCACATGGAAAGGCCTGTTTCTTATTAGATTTTGAATGATATGTGAATAAAAGGTCCTTACTCATATTTGATTATTTTTTTTCTTTATTCAGAACCTTTTCCTTTACACAAACAAGGAATTTGCATTGGTGCATACAAATCACACAAAAATAAAGTACTTTTTAAAATATAAATAAATAAAGATAAGGATAAAAGATAAAAAGATCCAAACTATACAGGAAAGACAGTACAGTTTTTCTGGTAGTTTTCCTTCACAAACATCTTCCATGCGACAGAAGTAGCCCCCTTTTTTAGGAACATTACCAGTTTCTTGTTTTGTCCTTCTAAGTCTTTCTCCTGTTCAGAATGACTTTGTTCCATGTCATATTCACTCTCCTCAATGTTTGTTTGCATTGTCTTCAAGCAAATTTCCTGCCTGTACAGAAGAATGCAAAGCGTTGTCCAAATGAAGAAAAAATATAGCTGTAAACAGTCAGGGTTCCCACACAACCTGGAAAACCTGGAAATTTAGAAACTAGTTTTTGGAAATGTTTAAGCCCCTGACTCAGATTCCCTACATAAACCTGGCTGCATATTTAGTTTGAAACTTGACTGTTGGTAGGATAAGCCAACAGTTGATACTTAAACACAGGACTTACAGCAATCTTCTATTGTCTAGTCTATAGTCTATTTATTATATTTATATTTTCAGGATATAGTGAAAGTTTCAGCAAGTATGACACTTACCTATGATTACCTACTGCAGCTTTAAGATCATTACATCACATATCATTAGCTCAGCAGCAACACTCCCAAATATCATGCAAAGCACTGTGGCTCTTTCCGGTACTGTCCTGTCAACAAAAAGGTAGAAAGATTTACATGATGGCCACATGTGTCTGAATGACAAAAAGCCATCACTTACATTAAACCATCAATCATGGTGCTTGTCACTACTCACTGAACTATCTAGTTGTTCTATTTATCTAGCAGCACCTGGCTCATGTTGTTATGGCTCAGTGTAATCCTCGTCTAGTTCTTTTAACCTCCTGTCTGTCTGTCTGTCTGTCTGTCTCTTCTTCTCTCTGGCTGGTCTCAGAATAAGGAGGGGTCATATCTGGGCCCCTATCCTGTAGTAAGTAGTATATTCTATGGTCTGCTTGCTCAGCCAGCGCTGATCACCACTGTATAATCTGTCTCATTCAGTTACAGCTGCTATTTATTTTCAGTCCTTTCAGATTAAAAATGCAACAAATGTAACAATGGTAAAACAAAGAAATGCTGTGATAATATGGTGGTTCAGTTGTGGTACAGAGCGCTCAAGTAACAGAATGCACATAAAGGAAGCCATATGCACAAATGTTAGCATTATTAAGAAGTAAACAGTGCATGTGAGCAGATAGCTTGTTTTTTTCTGCTGTCACATTTCTAACAGTCTGTGTTACTTTACATCCCCAGTATGGATAAAAACGGCACAATGACAATCGACTGGAATGAGTGGCGGGATTACCACCTCCTGCATCCAGCAGACAACATTCCTGAGATCATCCTCTACTGGAAACACTCCACGGTACACACTCTTCCACTCGACTCCAAAGCAAAATCTCATCTTTTCTACTAAAATGTGTATGTGGGGACAATGCATCAGACAGAGGAAGCTGAAATGTTCAACATGAGTGTTACATTAAATGATGTAAAATGTATTAATTCATAGGCACTTATAGATGCTAGTTTTAGGTGGTTAGAATGTATGTTGGATTATATTGTTTCTAGTTTTTTAGCTTGAGGGATTTGTATATCAAACTCCAAATTCCCACTGTCCCTAAGGTCTTTCTCCACCTACCTCCCACAAAAAGACAAAGTTTTGAATGAGCGCCCCTGTGATGTCTCAAAGTAACTGCAAAAAGCAGGAAGTAGCCAAGTTTAGCTCAGGTTTTTTTGTTTGTAACTTAATGGTACATTGAGTTAGTTTTGTGTTTTGTGATATCAGGATAAAGTGGTATGTTGTTAGAACAAGAAAATGTTCTTATAAAAACACAATAGTTTGGTATCTAGGAATAAGAAAGAAAAATGTCACAACATGAAAATATATCTTCTTTTAGTATAAAAAAGGATCTTTTAAAAACAAGAAAAGTTTCTTGTTATAAAGATATATCATTCTGTTTCATATGCCTTTTGCATTTGTGTTTTATTTTATATATTTTAAAACTTTCAAAAGGACACAACTTTGGAAAGGATTTATTATAGAGAATCATTGCACCCAGCAGTCAGTGGTCGTAATCCTGTTCAGACTGGATATGTCACCCCTATCCCAGTAATAATTACAGCAATTACCTGCTGTTTCCAGTGCACTCACTGGTCTTCCAGTAATTTAGATCCCAGATGTGCAGAGAGACGCTACACGTTTTAAAAGTGCATGAGTTCTGGTGCATTTCAGTTCCAGCAGCTCAGTTTGAATTCTGTGTGAAGAATGGGGAAAGGATTTTGCTAACCTGATAGTTTCCAGCAGAGTAAGACTCATCAAATGGGCTGTAGCATTGTCACTGATGGCAAGTCTGCATTGTGTAGCCAAACTGATTTTATGAGTAGAGAGGTACATACAACGATAGCAGCCCCTTTCTTCTTGTAAAAGCCTATGGGCATTCAGAGAAAGCCATTTCAGTGGTTTATAACTGTATGTGTAAGTAATTGAATTACTGGTTAATATTTAAATATTAACCAATATATATATATACTATATAATTTGATAAGCCCAGTCGTGATGAATGTCACCTGATTTTCCAGCAGAACCAGATGCTGTAATTTGCCAAAGACTATGCCTCCTGGCAAATGAGTTTAATAACCAAGGATTTAGTATTCCTTTACTGCATTTATTCTGCAATATTAATCCAGTCCACATAGGGCTTAACAATACATCATTATCATTGTCATGATGATCATGAGTTATAATATTTCTCTTTTTTTGCATCAGGAAGAAATCAGGGTAACTGTGGGGTCTTAAAAAGTCTTAAAATGTGTATTGATCATGCTGTAACTACAAAACCAAACTGACATGGAACCAACACTGATATTTTCCATACCCTTTGTACTTTTATTACCTCAAATTGCATTCAGAGTGGTCTGAAACCTGTTAAACCCTGCAGAAACCCTGAGAAATAGTCCCCACACGAAAAACCCTGCCACTCTCGGTATACATAGGACTTCCTCTGTATCACACCACATCTCCCTCACTTATGATTTGTGTTGTATCTGATTTGGTACCCACCCCCACCCCTCTGAAACCCGACCCCATCAGATCTTTGATGTTGGGGAGAGTTTGTTGGTTCCTGACGAGTTCACAGCAGAGGAGAAGAAAACAGGAATGTTGTGGCGACACCTTGTGGCAGGAGGAGGAGCTGGTGCTGTGTCTCGAACCTGCACAGCACCACTGGACAGGCTCAAAGTACTCATGCAGGTAAAACTCAGCACTCAACAATGAAACAATGAATGAGGCAGCATTTTGGCATAGAGTGATATTTTCATTCTAAAATGTGTTGTGTAAAGTGAAATAGTGATCATGACTGGTCCCGGCTTCCTCAGGTCCACTCCTCCAAGAGCAACAGCATGCGTATGGCTGGGGGCTTTGCCCAGATGATCCGAGAGGGCGGTGTGAGGTCACTGTGGCGAGGCAATGGCATCAATGTCATCAAAATCGCCCCTGAGTCTGCTATTAAGTTCATGGCCTACGAACAGGTATACAACAATACAGCTCTGGTTCCAATAGCTGTTTATTTGTGTCACATTTCATGTTGTTGCATAACAAAATGACCTTTCTGTCAGATTAAACGATTAATCGGAAGCAACCAGGAGACGCTGGGCATTGCAGAGAGACTGGTGGCGGGCTCTCTGGCTGGAGTTATTGCTCAGAGCAGCATCTACCCCATGGAGGTGAGAGGCTTAGACAAAATGAATTAAGTTTCTGTTCATTATTTAAAGGTCCAGTGTGTTACATTTAGGAAGATCTATTTTGGCAGAAGTTGAATATAATATAATATTTAATTTAATCACCTGAAAATAATAATCGTTGTGTTTTTGTTAGCTTACAATTAGCCTTTTTTTATCTACATTGGCGGAGTCTGCCATGTTTCTACAATAGCCCACAACGGATAAACCAAACACTGGCTCTAGAAAGGGATTTGTTTTTTTCATGTTTCGCAGCCACCGTAGTTTCTGTTACACGCTTGGAAGGCTGAGCTGTGTTCACATGGTTGCAATCTGCAACTTCACCGTTGGATGCCACTAAATCCTACACACTGGTCCTTTAAATGTACTGTAGTAACTCTTGACTCATTGTGTATGCAGAAATATCCAAGTGGATTTTTTGTGTCTTGTGACTGACGGCCCATTTTAACTTTTAGCCTTGAACCCATCATGTGAAACTGTACTGTGTGTTATCTGGAGGAAAACAGACCTTCACACGCAGACTCACAGACCTTCAGTTATGCACAAAGTGTGAGCAAGTCATTTACGTAAATGAGGTTCATAACACAACTTGTTTTAATGTGAAAGATAATGCACGGAATATGTATGCTAGTCTGTGTTTGTCCAATTATAAAAGATTTTCTACGACTCTTGGACAACAAAGTGGAGGTTTCTTTTGTTTGTCAGGAGGCCTGACATCACTTCCTGTCTTCTCAGGTTCTGAAGACACGGTTAGCCCTGAGGAAGACAGGCCAGTACTCGGGCATCTTGGATTGTGCCAAACATATCTTCCGGAAGGAGGGTGTGGCTGCTTTCTACAAGGGCTACGTCCCCAACATGCTGGGCATCATCCCCTACGCTGGCATTGACCTGGCCGTCTATGAGGTGCGTGGTCGCTATCATGGGGCAACTTTTGTTTATTGTTGTTTAGCTCGGTCTGACTCCTTTGCTCTCCTCTACTCTGTCAGACTCTGAAGAATTACTGGCTGCAGCGCTTTGCCACAGACAGCGCCGATCCGGGAGTGTTTGTGCTCCTGGCTTGTTGCACCACTTCCAGCACATGTGGCCAGCTGTCCAGCTACCCACTTGCCCTGGTCAGGACTCGAATGCAGGCACAAGGTCAGTCGCCGCACAATCTCGGAACCCATTGGCTCAGCAACAGCCAATGTTTCAGGGCTTCTGGTATTCCGGGCCAAGACTTCCACTTCATTATTGAAGGTCTGATTAGCAACTTGAGACACGAGAATGGAGTTGGAGTTAAGAGATGATGATATGATCGGATTGTTTCAGCTAACCTCTAGAAACAGATATATGCATATGAATGCATTTGCATTCGTTAAAAAGCTCAATTGTCATATCTTTACATCTATGAGTCTGGACAGATATGCAGTGAACTGCAACCTGACCGGTTGGCGCAGGCTTACAACCACGGAGCAGTAATCCTTTGTTTTTTTAAGGTGTATGCATAGTTCAGGGAATCCGGATAGTAAAATGAGCTCCTGCATCATTTCTCCTCATTTTTCTGGTTACCGCGGTGACCGGGTTACCTTGGTCACATGACTTCCATAATCAAATCAGACGGCAGCAGTAAATAGCCATGGAAGGCCATGAGAACAGCAGCTTAGAAACAATGAAGGTGGTGATGGCAGCCACTTCCTAAATGATCTCTATAGAGTTCTGATGTGAGACGATTTCATTTTGACTTCAAACTCAAAATTGGAGCATCTGTAATTGTTTGTGTGTTTAGACCTCTAGGAACCAAGAACAAGAGGGTAGCTTTGTGTGTGATGATCCTTGTCCTCACCCTCTTCCTCAGCTACCCTGGAAGGAGGCCCTCAGATGAGCATGACGAGCCTGTTCAGACACATCATTAGGACCGAGGGGCCCATGGGACTCTACAGAGGCCTGGCGCCCAACTTCATGAAGGTCATTCCGTCTGTCAGCATTAGCTACGTGGTCTACGAGTACCTCAAGATCAAGCTGGGGGTCCAGTCAAAGTGATGAGGGAGGCAGAGTGAGGAGATGAAGGCGCCAAAGGTTTTTGTTTTTGTTTTTGTTTTTGTTTTTGTTTTTGTTTCCAGCTGAAGACTGAACAAGCAGCTTACATTCTACGTATTTAAATCAAATAATCAATCAAATTAAATGAAGAGGAATGAAAGCAGAGAGGCTGAAGAGATGAAGACTTTGTGGATCAGGAAGGCGTGATTGAAGACATTTCTGTAAGTTGGTCTTATTTAAATCTTTCTTTTAGCAATCCAGCAGTGCTTCAACTTAATCTTAGTTTAGGAAGACAAGTTTACATTGAAGTGGTTTACTGGTGGACCAGTAAAATGCACCTGCTGATTTTGGGCACTGACATTGACGTGGCAGGAGCGGTTCTGCAGTCAATGAACACTCTTTGTCTCGAAGGGCTTTGCTAAGGCATTTCACAAAGCATTTCCTATATCGTCCTACTGGAAGACTTGAACACTATTAATAATCAAAAGTACAGTGACTGTGCAGAAAACCCATGTGGATGTACCCTCTGCAGGTATGTGATGTGCTCCTTTGTGTTGATCTAGAGGGGATCCACAGCTTTGTTCTATGTAACAAGGTGATCAAGAGCTTTTCTTTCCCACAGCAGACACGTTCAACCATTCCATTATCTACACTCCGACACTCTCCTCGGCCTGAATGCGATCCACAGTTTTCATTAAATTGCCAAAAACTCATTAATGCTTCCAAAGGAATGAATCCTCCTCCAGCGCTACCCTTAATGTTTTGGTAAGGGCCTAGGAATAGCACACGTGTTATTATGTTGTTTGTTCAGTCCAGCACTCTTTTGTAATGTGGGGTGTAAGGAACATTGAGTTTTGAAGAGCAGGTGAAAGTGTTTTGATTTATGTTTGGCTGTGCTATTCCAGACATATTTGTAAATGAAATGTGAAGTTGAGTACAGTCTGAGCTGTCATTAGTGCCCTTTGATGTCCTCAATGCAAATGTTCAGAGAGGTTTGGAGTCTTCAGATAGTGGAACATTGAATTTCAGTTGGTTTCCCAAGATTCACTTGAATATAGAGCCCTGCTTATAATATCGGTCAGCACTTATATCAGTGCAAAATCGGTGCAAACCCACATCTAAAATCAATATCAGCCTGGAAAATCCCCCAGTAAACAACAATCGTGTCTCCTAGTTTATACTCACTAGGAGACACGTTTGTTATTTACCTCTTGTTTTATTTTTGTGATAAAACCACTGCAAAAAAAAAAAAAAAAGTAGGACTTTATTAGAAAGATTATAATGTCAGTAACTGACTCAGTAACATAGCACAGTATATCTAAAGTTTTCCAACATTAGCTATTGCTCACACCAGACTAACGAAGGCTGTAGCAGCAAAACCCCTTAATTGTCCAAACATCACATCCCTTGTACAAAGGGATGTGATGTTATGTCTTCTTTCTAAAGTTCCGCAGTCCTGCTTTCATTTCAGCAGATCCAGTAGACAATAGACTTACTGCACAGAATTATAATCTTCCATATAGCATTTACCCATTAACTGAGCAGTGTTGGGCTAGTTATTCAAATAATGTAATTCATTACTCATTACTCTTTAATAATAATTGACAATAATTAGTTGCCCTACTAGTTATATCACTTTCTGCTACTCCCCACAAAACTGGTAATTGTGTCCTTTCTCCCCAAAATTCAGACTTACAACAATGAAAATCCAGTTTAATTTGTTAAATCAATGTAATGTGAATATTTCCATATTCATATTCCAAGCTAGTTACAAAAATGAATCCAAAGATGTGATTGGATTGTAGGATTTTCTGAAGTATGGTAGCAACAAATTATTTTTGGGGGGGTTAACTGTAATATTATTACTGAGCATTATTAGTAATTAGTTACACTACTAATTAGTGGGGAAAGTCATGTTATCTGTAGCAGTGAGTTGCTGCCCACAGTGTAACTGAGCGACAGCAGCAGAAAGAGGGCAGCAACAGCAAACCAACTGCTGGCTACCTTTGCAGGTGAGGCTGCTCGATGTGGTGAGAGAGGATTATGACTCAAAGAGTAGCCTGCCTGCATGCCCACACTGTGGTTGCTGTGGAGCAGCGGGGACCTTTGCACCCCCTACCATTCTTGCCATAATTGTAGTCATTTCCAATTAGGCAAAGCACCTTTAACATTTTCAAATCAGGCCAGTCCCTACAGGATTTTGCGGCTTTTTGGGGGGATTGTTTTGCTCGGGTGACTGTGATTGGTGAAACTTGAGGGAAACTACAATGATTGGTCAAATTTGTGCCTGGACAACATCAGGTCAATCAAGATACCCTGGCCTACAAATTGTATTCTCCACATGTTGGAAAACATGTTTCTATGGCACTACAGACCTCAAGAAATGTCACATCATCGTGATTTAAATCGTTTTTTCAGTAAAAATGTATATTCTGATGCAAAAATGATCCTTCCCACTAATCATGAGTCATATCCCAACGCAATATTTGTCAAAATTATTGTTAGAATTTACAGATTCAATTGCTGTTCAGTAATTTCCCAGATGTTGTTGGTAGCTACAGAATCTCTAGGGAATATTTAACCGGCTTATTGGCTATAGACGTTTTCCATTGTTGTACGATGTAAATAAAAACTCCTTTAAGTCACATGGAAGGACATCCAGCAGAGGCAGCGCTCCCAACCCGACTGCTGCCTGCGTCAAATGCTCACAGATTCCCATGAGTGCCTTGCGTGCCAAGCTTATGTAAATGTACCAAAACACTTTAAGAGGCGGAGTCTGTCGAACATCGAATGCACTTTAAGGTACTCTGCTGTATGTTTTTTTTTTATTATTTTATTTATTTATTTATTTATTTTTACAAAACACAGATTGATAACTGAATTTGTGGACTGTTGGTTATGCTGAGGAATCAGATGGATGTATTTTTGTATTTGGGTGAAAGAAGCGACTGATTAAGAAGTGACTCTTAAAAATTCAAAGCCTCAATAGACATGGAGCCCCGAAGTGTTTAATACCAAATAAATAGTCATATGAACGCATTGTGTAAAATATACAAATGAACCAACAATTTGTGATATAATTGAAGAAAATTCAAACTCAACTCAAATGTTTTGTCATCATTTATGATTGCATTTTTATTTTATTATAGATAGTTTTATTTCAAAATGCCCCTCTAAAAAGTCTGCTTTTATTTCATATCGTTTTCTGAATGTCATTTTTCAAGTTTTATTGCCCAATGAGACTTTTAATGAACATGGATGACCTGTTGTCTAACTTTTCTGCCAATCACATGCCCTCTGCCTCTCTGAAGCCAGCAAGCTCAACAACTGTAGTCAAATTTAGCCAGTTAGCATTTGTTAGCTGGAGCAACAGCAATTAGAGGTCATGGAGTGGCAAGGAGACATATAACATATCAGTATCATAATCAGCTGGAAAAGCCCCCAAATGAAGAGATTTGAACCCAAACAGATTCCATTATTGTGGCACATTAGTAAAGCACTAAATAGAAATCTCTTAAGGTGGCATTAGAGATCAATATATTGTTTATTTTTATAAATCTTCAGACATTTTTCAAAATACATGTCTTCATTGAACTAATTTCCATTTTTTAAATCGTTATTTTAAAAAATCCTTAATAAAGAAAATGATAAAAGTGAATGTTAATTTGACAACCAACTGAGACCCTGGTTGCTGCTGTAAATACACACACACACACACACACACACACACACACACACACAGCTACTACATCTCTTTAGCTTTTAGCCTTAGCTTAAAAATGCTTCCATGCTACCTGCCTGGTGAGCTAACTAGCTAGGCCAGCTGTGAGTTTGGGCTATTTATTCAGCGTCAATGTGAAGAGTCAGCGTTAGCATTGTTAGCTGGCTCCTGTTTGCCCAGAGAAACCACAGAAAGAGTTTTGTTTTCTTTTTGCTCTCCGTGTCTCTCTCTGAACAACATCTTTAGAATCAAAATGTGTCAGAAGTAACCAGCTACTGATAGCTGCTCCAGTTAACACTAGGAGTAATAGACCAAGCTCACAACCCCACCTAGCTAGTTGGTAGCATGAGCAGCATTTTAAGCTAAGGCTAAAAGCTGAAGAGGTCTAGTTCCTGTGATTATTTAAAGCAGCAGCCTCCGGTTGGTTCTTTAAAATGACTTTGGCATTGTTGTTGCTCTAGCTCACAGGTGCTAACTGGCTAAACTGTATAGCAGTTGTTGGGCAGATGGTTGGCTGAAGGTGAGAGAGGGCAGTGGCAACACCTCTGTCATAAATATTGACATTATGAAATAAGTAATGGCTTCAAAAAAGGGTTATTTCAAAATAAAAAATTCTATTATGGAATAAAAAAATAAAATCCCATAAAACTTGTTATGTGAATAAGATGATGAAATAAGATTTCATAATGAGGTAAATAAGAAAAAATCTCAAATTATTTGTATTACTATTTATTTTATACTTATTTGCTACTGAACACTTTGGGGCCCCATACAAAGATTTCTCTGATGGAACCGTGTCCGCAGCAGCAGTTTGTTGTTTTGGTGATGAACAGTAAAAACCCTGCATTTCAGCTGCAGACACTGCTCAGGCAAAAGCACAGCCGACTATCATGAAGAATAAACATATTGTGGGCGGAGATATACCACCTGAACCGGATCTCAACGTACTGTATCCATTGTATGTTATGTAACAAAAGGAAGGATGTGCTCACTATTATAATCTGTGTATGTGTGACGGAACTGCAGTCTCTCGTGTTGGACTGCTTCAGGATGCCAGGCTGCCTTTGGTCAGCCGCCTTACTAAAGCACCACGTCTGCTTTTGAAACCACGCTGTGTCTTTGTAGCAGGCGGAGAAGGGACGAAGGGCTCCTCATTCACAGGCTTGGAAGCAAATGTCTCAGCCCGTCGCTCTTTCCTCCTCTTCCTCTCTGGCTCAACAAGTGTGTATCCGACCCCTTGCTCTGACATGCTCTATGCATAAATTAGTGACAGAGAATGATGTCACCATGTGGCTGCGTGTAAATGTTTTCCATATTTTGTACAGTGCAGTAACGCTCCAATGTCTTAACAGTAGCCCATACTGTATGTTGTACTGTATGTTGTACTGACAAACAGGCAGTTAGGCAAATCACCAGTGGAACTTGAACTGTACAGGAAGTGCTAGACTATACAAACACAATGTATATTGGTAAATGGTGAAGTGTATTCAGTATATATATTTCTATTTTATTTTATTATGCTAGCTGTAAGTGACAGACATGCCTGAATGAATATGTGAGTTGTTGTACAGTAGTTTGTTGCATCCATTGAAAGAATGTTATGCTAAAAAATATATATGCTTGTATATCTCAGCTGTTAAATAAACTAGTTCAGCAGTGTTTTGATCTGGGCTTATTTGGTATTTACTACTTTAACTCCACACAGCAGCACCCACCTCATGGGAGAGACCGTCGCTTTAACTGTACAGGCTTGTTCACAAAGGCAGAGAGCCAATACCCATAAGCAGTGTGACAGGCATGTGACAGACAGCGGTTACCTTAAGGTACAGTGCAGTACAGCCAGACAGTCTGTGGAAGTGAAAGTGGGGAAGTTGTGCAAAACGAGTGAGTTGTAGGAATGAAGTCATTGAAGAAGTAGTAATAGGACCAGACAGGTGGGAAATTCAAACACTTGGTGACATTCAAATTATACTTGTGTCTGTTGTATTTGGCCCAACAGACAACAAATGCTGATATTATAGCTTACAGACAGGTGACAACGGAAAGGGAGGAAGAAGAATAAGAAGAAATTAAAACCTGAATGAATGAGTGGAGAAACATCACAAATGCAGATGCTTTCATGCAGGACACGAGGGGTCATTGAATCAGGGTCCAAACTACTGGGGAGCCTCTTAATTAGTCATGAGCTCCCCTGACAAGAACTGTGAAGTTTTGAGGGGTCTAAAATACTGACAATATGCTATTTTTCCATCCAATTCTATAAGTATATAGTAGCTGGCACTGCGGTATCAGAGTCCTGCCCATACGCCCGGCTGACTATCACGAGCAGCGCTCAGCTTTCAATCATGATGTGAAACTCCTTTGTATAGCTTCAAATAACTCATTCAAACCATCAGTGGTTTACAATAAAATTAGCATGATAAGAACTACCTAAAATGACAGAAACCATGTTTGGAAAAAAAAATGATTTGCCCATGTCCCATCTGCTGACATAGAGTTGGTGGGCTTTAGGACCTGTACTGCAGTCCGCCACCAGGGGGCGATAGAGATGTTTTGGCTTCACTTTTGGAGGGCTGTAATGTTATCTATCTTTACTACAGAAACATTGCACAGGTACAGCTATACAGTTGTATTGCTTACCATATTCTATATTATTGTATATACTTTATATATTTTATATTTAATGTTATCGTATTTTATCCTTTCTTTACTCTTTGCACCACATTCTCCTGTACTGCTGTGCCAATTTGAATGTCAATCGATCGATCGATCAATAAAGGAACATCTTTATTTATTCTACCAACAATAAATGCTCGGGGGCAATTTGGAGACGGTCCCTGGGCAGATTAGCTCAGTGGCTTAAAACAGCTGGGAACCACAGAAGAAGAACCAGGCTTGTGTGTGTGAATATAATGACAGCAGACTTTGTCCATCAGTCCCCAGCTACAGTCAGCTGACGGCTGCTGCTGACTCAACAGCCTCTACTTGTTGCTGACTGAGAGGAAACGGTGGCTGTTGAGGGACTTATTTCAGACATGTTTTGCTTCTGCAATCCTGAAACAGCATAAAGACGCCTGTCATCCTGCTGCAGCACTGTATCCTGTTCTATTTGCCTTTTTCACCACAGGATCCTTGTTTGGATCCGAGGGCTGCGGTCACGAGTTGCTCATGACACACAGTCATTTCCTGCAGACTAGCACACTCCTGCACCTCCTGTAGCCTGCTGGGAAAAGGAGGCTGGATGTGTACATGTGTGAACCCCTCTTCCTGCACAGTGTGCTTTGTTACCCTGACACAAAATGCTTTCCTTGGAGCGAGTGAAGCGGAGCTTGGAGAGCGCAGGGCAGTCTCACGTCCTGCAGTTCTGGTCGGAGCTGAGTGAGGAAGACAGGGAGGGTTTCCTCCAGGAGCTGTCTCAGCTGGATCTGGACGGGCTGAAGGAGCACTGCGAGGGGGCTACGAGGGCTGCAGCCTCCCCGTCCGCCAGCTTGGATCAAAACATCGAACCGGTCCCTCCGGAGTTCATCGGCAGCGTGAGGAGAAGTGACAGGAAGTCTCTGTCAGAGTGGGAGAATGAAGGTGAGTGAGCAGTTTTTAAAGGGATTACGGTAAATCTGCAAGTACTTAGAAAAGTGGGTAAAGCTGCAACACTGCCATGAAGCACTTACATTATACTCTTCATCAGTTACTGCACTATTTAAAGGGATAGAAAGTAACACAGTACATGTAAGTACGTGTACTTTATTTTTTATTTACTTTATATTTCTCCTACACTACATTTCAGAAGGAAATATTGCGCGTTTTACTTCACCACTACTGCTAGATTGAGATGTTACATTAAAGCACATTTTGAACTCAGTGCTTTGCTAAGAGATTTAACCACAGGTTCCAAATCTCCAAAAGGAAGTGTCTGGCTGGGGCCCCTTCTCATGTTTCAGTTCTGACAACACTTCCACCACAGAAACATTTCTTCTCAGATGGTTTCATTTAAAGGACCAGTATGTCCGATTGAGCGGCATCTAGTGGTGCGGTTGCATATTGAATAAAAATCCCTTTTCATAGCTTCAAATAACTAATTAAAACAAACAAAAAATAAAAAATGAACACTTGTACAAACATCAGTGTGATAAAAACTACCTAAAATGACAGAAATCATCTTTTGACCTATACTGCAGTATAGGTCATAAAGTACACATCAAATACATTTTTTGAAACATTTTCACCAGGTGGCGATCAAGATGTTTTGGCTTTGCTTTTGGAGAGCTGTCTCCACATCAAATTTGATCAGGCACCTGAAAACTCACCCGGATTGGTCAGTCACATTAGCGCATATGGACGGTTAGTTCAGCATCAGCTATGTAACCTTCACTTAGCTTGCTACTAGCTTTGTAACTGAGTATTTGAATAGATGAGTGAATGTTAGTTTGCTTGTCGCACTTGTCTGCATTGAGTGGCGTTGACATGACGTAAAAAAAAAAGGTCTGGTAACGTTAATCATCTACGCTGCCACCATCTACTGGCTATTGTTAACCGTAGAAAAACACATAGTTATACTGTCGGCATGTTGGAAGAGTACAGTTTCCTTTAAAGGAAAGCATTCATTGTGTGTTTTCTTCATATTGCATTGCAATAGCCTGTTTAAAGTGATCATATAACAAACAACTAATCAGTACTGATACTGTATGCTAATAGATAAAGGAGTGATAATAATACAGTAAATGCTTTGAATTTCTTAGATATAGCTGTGCAGTATTCTTAGTAGACCAGATAGCAGCAGATGACAGAAGGCTCATTACAACCAGAAGAGACATATGACTTTTATTTTTTAGAGACTTGACTTGGACTCGTGACCAAAGACTTCAGACTTGACTTGGAATTGCAAAAAAAACATCTCTGTTCTAAGGTACCAAAAACAGAAAAAAACAATTCTTATATTCAGGTGATTATACACTTAAAGCAGAGTCTTTTGAGTGAGCCAACATGCACAATAGCAGCACTCTGACTCTGTTTGACCCAAATGGAATGGGACCTTAATTAGTAGCATTGGTAACATCTGTGTTTACCCTGCTATTTCATGTCAGAATGGCTGCTGAGAAAAAGGTTTGTTGTGTGAATGCAACACAAACCTAACAGGTGCAAAAAGCTAACAGAGGAGTGTCAAACAAGCACTGCATGCACACAGCTACACTGTGTAGAGGCATTTTTAATTACACAGTCTATACTTTTCTCAAATCATTGCTTTTTCTTTTGAAATACTAAACAGATTTACCTCTTCGTAACTCTAAAAACTTGGGGAAAGTTCACTTTTTGAACTGCTCATGGCTCAAATGTGACCTATTACAAGGGGTCGTAATGCCAAAAAGGTTGGGAACCACTGATGTATAACTGGTTGTTATGCTGGTTTGCTCCTACTGATGAAAAAAATTCTACCAAAGCAGTAACAAGTTTAAAGTTAAATGTCAGCTTGTAAAGTTTTATGAAAAGTCACTTGTAAAGTCTGACAGTAGGTGTGCTGCGTAGGCCAGCTGTTGTAAAGTTTAAAGGCTTTGATTGTAAATCAGTGAAGTTTACTTACATGCATCCTGCTGTTGCTTGTGTTACCACTCTGTTGACAGGGCTGTTGCAAATCTCAGAGAATCGAGTTGGAGTCCTGCTGTTGGCTGGCGGTCAGGGGACGCGTCTCGGTGTTCAGTATCCCAAAGGGATGTATAATGTCGGGCTACCAAGCGGCAAAACCTTGTATCAAATACAAGCAGAGCGTATTCACAACATCCAGGAGCTGGCAGGAAGAAAGCATGGCTCTAAATGCACCGTTCCATGGTAAGATTATGTGATGATCCTCCTCCACTACTCTGACCATGTGTAGGATCATGTTGATCAAAATGACAAACTCCCAGACATTTGAGTACAAAAAGCTAAAACGTCTGAATCGTTATCATTATCACTGATATAGAGTGTTCAGTAAATAACGTGGGTCTCCCAGTTCCTCTGCAGTAAACACCTAGAGCCGAAGGATCTGTCCTAGGTTTCTGCCTTTTAACAGGCAGTTTTCCCTTGCCCCCGTCGCCTAGTGCTTGCTCATGGTGGTACTGTTGGGTCTCTGTAAATAATGTTTTAAAGAGTTCGGTCTACACCTGCTCTATTTGAAAAGTGTCCTGAGATAACTTCTGTTATGAATTGGCGCTATACAAATAAAACTGAATTGAATTGAATTGAATTAAACAGAGAATGCAACTTCACTTTTTTCAGTCAGGAGAGAGAACTCCACAAAGAGGCGTTCCCCAAGGGCAGGCAGCAGAATTTCAGTGTGGTGACATGAGGAGGAGGGAGGGGACGGCTAACTGCAAGAATGTTGACTATAGCTACTTTTTTATATACAATATTCACTAGCCAATAGATGTCGCACTAGAGCACCAGTGTCTCAGACCAAAATAGTGGGACAGAAATAAAATAAAACTCACTTTGTTAGTCTTTGCAACAATCAACTACTCTGGTTTGGTTGAAATAAACCCTGAATTCACAGAGTTAGATGAAACAGTCTTTGTTGAAAGGGCTGCAATGGCCGCTAGGTAAACTGATGTTAATCCTTGGGGACAAATGCACGCTTAATTTATTAATGAATCAAATCCTTAATTCACCGACAGCAGTTTCAGTGGCTCTACTCAGCTGCACACGGAGCAGACTGGCTATGGAAACAAACCACAGAGAGGCTGTGATAGCAACACAGGCAGAGGGAGAGTGACACCCTGACTCCACTATATCTTTACATAGAGAATAGTTGTTGCTGCTATATTCATGCAATAAAAGTCATATATAACCCCTAAAACAAATGTTAAGTGGTACAAACACGGCTGTTTTTGGCTTTGTGATTAAGCCTAGAGGATAAATAAAGTCACAGAGGTCATGGAGGTTAAATATAAATGTAACATGTTAAACCTGTAGTGTGTACTACTGTAACTCTTCAGGTACATAATGACCAGCGAGTTCACTCTGGCTCCCACTGAGAAGTTCTTCAAGGAAAACAACTACTTTGGTCTGGAGCCATCAAACATTGTTATGTTTGAGCAGAGGATGATCCCAGCAGTGACCTTTGATGGAAAGGTCATCCTGCAGGGTAAAGGGAAGATCGCCATGGCCCCAGGTAGGTGCACAGCAGCTCCTGCAGAAGATCCAGAGACAGTTATCTGTGAAATCACTTTGGTTTCACCTGTTGCCACTGATAGCTTGAGGCAATGAGCCATGTTTCAAACTCTCTCCACCCACTGTCAGATGGGAACGGTGGTCTGTACAAGGCGCTGGTGGACAACAAGGTGCTGGAGGACATGAAGAAGAGGGGAGTGGAGTACCTGCATGTGTACTGTGTGGACAATATCCTGGTCAAGATGGCCGACCCTGTGTTCATTGGGTTCTGTGTGAACAAAGGGGCTGACTGTGGAGCCAAGGTAGAGTAACATGTAACATCACACAGTAGTTGAACGGGAAGGTTGATCTCTCATGTCTGACCATTAAAGCTGCAGTAAAAATAACCTTTTGACATATTTGCTGTGAAATCGGTGAAAAAATCAGGTTCCTCTGGCAAATATGACAAAAAATTATTTTTATAAAAAAACAAACCTACTGCAGTTTGAAATAAGAGCTGGAGCTGGGTGGCGTCCTTTTAACAGTTCTGTTTGTGTACATAAATAAACTAGATGCAGTATGTTAATTAATGAGCTTTAAAGTTGCTGGCAGGTGTCCATTTGAACTTTGGCAAATTAAAGGAAAAATCAGCATAAAATGTCTTAGTAAGGTGTTATAAACACCATAACAGAGACAGGACTGTCCTCTGCGCACAGTATGCCGAAACACACCATTATGTCCCATCTTTTTTAACAATAATCTCACAAGGGTAGAATTAAATTCAATAAAAATTGTGACTCCGGTTTCCATCTGCTCTGTCATGTGTCAGGTGGTGGAGAAGGCCTGCCCTGCGGAGCCGGTGGGCGTGGTTTGCAGGGTGCAAGGAGTCGCACAGGTGGTGGAGTACAGCGAGATCCAACCAGAGACGGCTGAGCTCCGGGAACCTGGAGGGGAGCTGGTGTACAGCGCGGGGAACATCTGCAATCACTTCTTTACCAGGGCCTTCCTGCAGGATGTAGCAGAGTAAGAGCCTGTACTGTCACATACAGTATGTGTTGGTAGGATCCCTCTGACGGACTGATCAGGCAAATTTCAACAGCACACGCCCATATCTGGATGTTAAACCTGCATTAACTGATCCTTTGGCCACTTGGAGCTATAAACACAACATTGACATATTATCACCTTAAAGTTAATATGGTAAACAAGTTTGCAGTCAGTTGCTTATTTACAAATCTAGCAGATCCAAAGAAACATAAGAATTCTTTAGGAATCATGTTTCCAGCCAATATTCACTCTCTGTTTTGGTCTCCTCCTCCTGAGAACAGTATTTGGCTCTTAAGCCGCACATTTTTCAAATACTCACTAGAGCACAAAATATGGATTAATCCCCAGCTGAAAAAAATCCCTTACAAATGTACTATTTCCTTCTGTTTGAGTAATGTTTGCTAAAAACTACAGTGGCCAGCCATTTTATGAAATTGTTTAGCTGCTTTGGTAAATAAAAGTGTGACTCATTTTCATCTTGAGTAGAAACCAGTATAGAGGGATAGTCTCACACATTCTTGGTTTTGGTTTTTCATGGGATTTGTGAACAAATACAAACAAATGTACATCATTAGCCTTATCCTTTTTAAAAACGCAACTGTCCCAGCTTTTATTTTGAAAGTTTAAACGGAACAGTTGCAGTTAAGACTGCCATGTGTGCCAGCTTGTATCATTTTGAGCGAGAGAAGCCCTGTTGCCAGGGAGACTGGGGCTTGAGTCCCATGTGAAAACAGAATTAATGTTGACTTTAATTTTTAAACTTAGTTGACTTATTTTAAGTTTTTTTTTCTTCAGTTTTCAGTGGCAGTTTGGTTAGGTTTAAGCATTAAATCTTTAGTTTAGTTGAAGATCGTGGTGTAGATGCAAATAATATTTGCATCAATAGCATCTGCCTTTAATTAATCTCCAACTATTTTGATAATTGAATAGACCTTTCATACAGAGGTTTGTAATAACCTACAGTGTAAAACCGAGATCATTTTTGCCTAATGATAGCATTCTTAGTCTGTATGTCTGTCCAAGACTTTGGTCCAGAGCGAAACTACTGACCCGACTGTCATACAGGTTTTTGTGATATTGATCCCCAGCAGATGATTCTTAAAGATTTCCTGATCTACCCAGTAGCACCACCATCGGGCCAAAGTTTGTTCTTTATTAACACTTCCCTAATAAGTTGCCTCAAAATCTACAAAAGTGAATGTCCAGATTTCTGTGGTAGTTTGTAGAGGATACAGCCTGTATGTAACCTTCCTGCATGTTGTTAGGTCGTGTAAAAAATGCTTTTGATTTCCTAATATTTTTTCTTCTGACAGGAAATTCGAAGCCCAACTGAAACAGCATGTTGCCATCAAGAAAGTGCCCTTTGTGGACACATGTGGCAATCCCGTCAAACCCACCAAACCCAACGGCATAAAGATGGAGAAATTTGTTTTTGATGTATTTCCATTCTCAAGGTATTGTTGGTTATTATAATGTGTCTTCAAATATTGACTCCTGTTGTTTTACTCTACCTAAACTACATAAGTAGTAACACAATGTCTCTACAGCTAATTGAAACAGTTGCTTTCTGTCTTTGGCAGGAGCTTCGTTGTGTTTGAGGTTATAAGGGGGGACGAGTTTTCCCCCCTGAAAAATGCAGATGGAGCAGCCACAGACAGCCCCACCACAGCCAGGAACTCTCTGCTGGCCCAGCACTGCCGCTGGGCCACGGCTGCAGGGGCCACACTGTTGGATGAAGATGGGAATGCCCTTCCTCCTACAACCAGGTCGGAAGAAAATGTTCCTATATACACCCTGCAGAAACAGATACAGTCAGAACTTGGAACTATAAATAGGAACAGAAAAGACAGCTTTTTTACTTCTCTTAGCAGGAAAAGCACAGGTGGAACCAGTAACTTTAATGTAACCTGTCCATTATTAGAACACATTAGAAAAGATTATAATAAGATGTCTAATGGGTCTTATTTCACAAAATCATATTTCATTGCATTATTACATTAAAAGAATTGTTCAACTTTTTGGGGAATATGCTTTCAGGCCAGCAGTTAGATGAGGAAATGGATACCACTCACGTATGTACCCTAAATCAGGATAGTAATCAGGATTTTAGAAACAGTGAGGTCATGAGTCTGAGCCCCATTAAGGGGGTTGGGGGGCATGCTCCCTTGAGAAAATGTTTGAAGACTACAATGTAAATCTATGCATTTTAATGCACTTTGAGAATAACAATAATCACTTAGGAAATTATGTCAGTGCCAACACATAGATGGAAATTCTACTGTAGCCAAGTATGGAAGCCCATTTCCGCCAATGTGACGGGGAAAAAAAGATTCTATAAGTCATTATAATGAGAAGCTTTCTCAAAATATTGACTTAACATCTCAAAATAATGACTTTGTGATACTAAATTAATATTTTGACAATTTATAATGACCTAGATAATTTTTTTTTCCTATCACATTGGCAGAAATGGCCCAGTGTGTAAGTACTAATGGATATGGAATAGCCAGGCGGGGGGCGTAATATGCCCTTTAACATGAGTACATTAATAATTCTTATTTAAAATAAAATAAAAAGTTGAGCTATTTCCCATTATTTATCAATTAATTATAGTTATAAATGAGGTATCACTGACACATTTTGGTAATAATCATTGAACACAAAATGTTCTATATGTGCCTCATTTCCAAAGATAATAATATGAAGGCGCAGCATTAGAGACGGAGCCAGGCTTTGTAAACATTAAAGGCTTAACCTTTAGGGTCCGGGGCATGCTTCCCTGTATATGCACTATTTTTCAAGCCAGTGGAGATAAAAGAATGCCTAAAAATCTGCACATCATTTGGGAAAAATGTAAACAAAAAATTAGTTAGAACATACATTATATTTTGTATCTCAATTGGTCTAAACAAATGTTAAGGATGAGTAATTTTCACTCCTGCCACCTAAAAAGAGACAGAAATTACCTGATTTTAGCGTTTTTATGTTCAATAATACTTTTGTTAAACTGTTCTGGAGTAGGTATGTGTTTGGATAGAACTTAAATTACATTTCCAAAAGAGCGTGCTTACATTTCCTCCATGTATTCCACCTCCTGATATCATCTAAAAATGTTACGCACTGTGCCTTTAACTTCAAGAATGAAAAAAGCAGATCACTGTAAAATAATTTTATATATGTGTAGGATTCCCCATTTAATTTCCAATTCTGAAGAGTAGTGTAAAAATAAAAATATACAACAAATACAATATATGTGGTAGCCTGCTTACGTTGACATTTAACAATGGTTATTGTGTTCTGTAATGATTCTTCCTGCTCACACTGGCCCTGAAGAGATCCTTCCTAATGAGACAACACTGTGAGACATCCACAGTCTTTGTTCTGTGTGACTCTTTCTTTTTGCAGTCAGTCATCAGTCTTTTAAGTCGGTTTATGTTCACAACACTATTAACTAGCAGTTGGGGGTCTAAACACAAAAATCAATTAGTGTTTTTGAGATTCGATACAATATCACAAAACAAAATATTGCAATATGATATTTTCTTGTGCCCCTACTTTTTTGTATGAAATTCCTTCTATGGAGAGGAGAGATGATCACAGCTATCAATAACTCTTTCAGTTTGCATATGGGCTTGTGAGTGTTGTATTAACATAGAGTGGAAAAATAAAAATGTGTGTTTTTCCCCCAGTGTCTCAGCAGGGAACAATCCTCCAGCACAGTGTGAGATTTCACCACTGGTCTCCTACTTTGGAGAGGTGAGGACATGAATGTACCCATAGATCCATATAAAACATTAAATGTTTCACTACATAGAGATAGGTAAACCAATTGTTGGATCACAGCGATAAACTGGTGAAACCTGTAGAGCAGTGAGAGAGTTATCTTTGCATAAATAATCAGTTTTTCTCAGCTTGCATTTAAAAGTATTTTTGCACAATCAATACATTGCTGTCATTTTCAATGTTTTATCTTGAGAAGGAGCACTTCCTCACTGACCCTTCCTAAGTCCCGCCCCTTTTTGCTGGGTGCTCCAATAACAGTTGAGCAAGCCTCGGTCAGGACCTAGTCAACTTCCTCCATGTGTGTTGAAAAGACGACTACATTTTGAAGATGGTTAAAAGATAATAGTGACATTGCTCTTATCTTTTAACCATCTTTAAAATGTGGTTCTCTTTTCAACATAGATTAGCCTAGCATATTGCATATCTAAGTACAGGAAAGGAGGAAGTTGACAGAGGTGTCTGAAGTGGCGGTGTCATTAGCCCAGATAGGGTGCTGTAATTTAACCTCCATCTCGCCTCCTCTGCCAGGGACTGGAGCCGCTGCTGAAGGGGAGGACACTGCCAACTCCCTTCATTCTGGATGAAAAAAGGGCCAAAGAGCTGCAGGCTCAGTAACATTTCTCTCATTAATAGAAGATTGTGTTATTCCAGTACAACGGACGGGGTACGAGAATGGAGACTGCAGCCCTGCATGCATGTGATTGGGTAGTTTCAGCCCACGAATGCACAATTGTTCACATGAATGTTGTACGTGAAGATAATCATTTCAAACTGCCATTTCTCTCATGCATCTCATGTAATGTGTCTTTGTTGAGGAGGAGCTACAAATCATGTAATGTGATCTCTTGAAAACTAATGAGGCAAATAAGGGATTAGCTATGACTTTGGGTAATTTATATAAACACAAAATATTATCAAAATACCTCACTGTTTCCTCTCTTATTCTTTTTGAGTCAATTACTACTTCCTCTTTAACTTTCATTGTCCAAGAGTTCATTTTTAACTGTTTGAGGATAAGTATGAGAGGTGCAGTCAGTTAAGTGGGTGAGGAAGAAGTCCTTATACTAATCGACAATAAGTCAGGGAAACCCTGAACCAGCCGATCTGCTTATATATATATATATATAAAAGACAGAATAACAGGATGAGTCCTAGTGTCTTTATACCAAGCATAATGTAAAATTATGGTATTCTGAAAATCACATGGTTTAGTATAATTAATTATGAATAATTTCAGTGATATGTGCACTAAATTTGGCTGAATTATAAAACCCAGAAACTAAATGAAGAGCTGTTTGAGAGCCAAAAGAGTCAGCTTTATTGCTGAGCTGAGCCAAAGGATCCTAAAAAGAGCCTGAATTCCCATCAGTACTGTGAACTTTACGTGTCTGTTTTGAATAATTTAACACACAAAAGGCTCCAGGAAAAGAAGTAGAAAACAAAATGATGAAACGTTGAGCTTTTATTGTGACATTTCGTAAAAGTAGATAGTAGTATATCCAGAATCTTCATTCTAGCTATAAAAAATGCAATTGTGGATATATGAGATATGATATTGAAAGCCCAATACACATAATTGGAAAAGTTAGGTAATTTTTTCCTAGGAAGAATGAAATTGTGGACGGGGGCGTTTCCAGACTTTTTTGACTGGAGTAGGTAGTTTCCAGTCACTCCCAATTTATGCACTTCCAACACTGTTTAAAACACTAAGCAAAAATAACACATTTATACCACATGCAAAAACTGCACGGCTTTCTGTAGGCATATCTGCAAAGGGTAGACTTGTGGGTACCCATAGAACCCATTTTCATTCCGATATCTTGAGGTTGAGGGTCAAGGGTCAGTTTTTCTATACCCAATTTTGGAATGTCATTTAGCCCTCTTACTATGTTAGCACAACATGGTGGGTACCAACTGATGCTTTAGGTAATCTAGTGTCATATACCAGTATATGCTACGGTGGCCGACAAGTGCAAACGCGCCGCAAACGGCAAAACGCTCCCAACACAGGAATGATGCAAATCAAAAAACACACAAACACATAAAACAAATGCAACAGAAAAACGCTGCAATCACAGAAACGAAGCAGAAGCACAAACTTACAAACCCACAAAACAACTCCAGATAGAAACGCTGCAAATTCGCTCGACAAAACGGAAGTGCACCAGGCCACTAGGGGGACCCGACCTGAGGGATGGACCAGTCCTGTTGGACCAGACCTGAAAGACATGAAGAAGAAGAAGAAGCAGCAGAAGATTAAGAAGAAGAAGAAGAAGAAGAAGAAAGTTGGCTAAGTTTTGGAGAGGAGAGTAAAAAGGTACGTTTTCCTTTATGTCTTTTTTAAACACTTGGCTGTAATCTTTTATAATATTATAATATTATAATTATATTATTTAATACTATTTAATATTATAAAAAATATAATTATATTATTATATTATATAATATAATTATAATATACTTACAGTATTATAATATTATGTTATATTATTTAATACTATTTAATATTATTATAAAAAATAATGTTATAATATAATTGTATTATAATTATATTATAATATTATAATTATATTTTATAATGATATAATATTATATAATATTATAAAAGATTATGGCCAAGTGTTTAAAAAAGACATAAAGGAAAACGTACCTTTTTACTCTCCTCTCCAAAACTACTTTCTTCTTGTTCTTCTTGTTCTTGTTCTTGTTCTTCTTCATGTCTTTCGGGTCTGGTCCCACAGGACCGGTCCATCTCTCAGGTCGGGTCATATGTCTGTGACCCTAGTGGCCTGGCACACTTCTGTTTTGTCGAGCGAATTGTTTCTCTTTGGAGTTGTTTTGTGGGTTTGTAAGTTTGTGCTTCTGCTTCGTTTCTGTGATTGCAGCATTTTTCTGTTGGATTTGTTTTATGTGTTTGTGTGTTTTTTGATTTGCATCATTCCCGTGTTGGCAGCGTTTTGCCGTTTTGCCCTTGTCGGCCACCGTAATCTTCCCTATAGTTTTAAAACAGAGTCCGCTGCAGCCTCTGAAAGATTATGTGATACCCAGTCAAAATATTGAGAACGGTTCTCATTATTTTGAGACGCTAAGTCAATATTTTGAGAGTTTCTCATGTTAATGACTTGCGGAATCTTTTGTTTCCCGTCACATTGGCCGAACTGGGCTTCCATACTTCAGTATGCTCGTCTCACCTCGGGATGGTCCTCGCGCTTATTGTCCCTGCCGGCCGCCCTATCCTCGATTGTCTCGTGACAGACGCTGGCCAATCACAGCGCAGACTGTACGAGGGACGACAACTAAATATAACGGTAGTCCGTTAAAACGGAGCGGACGGTTTGTATTGCGTTATTACCGTGCTATTTTATTCAGCATACTCACTGACTCCTATAAAAATACGCTTAAATGAAATATTATTTTTTTCGACTTATATTTCATTCAATGTTTGGCTCAGTCGCACGAAACAAACAACGCGAGCGCCGCGGGCGAGCGCAGACGGTCGCAATAGAACCGTTAATTCTCTGACGACATTAACGGTAGCTAGCTTTCTGACAGGACGTCAACATCAGCGGGTTGTTTTTGGATATCATTTTATTGTTAGCTTGTAGCTAACAGCGCACACTGACTGTCTGTCCTGTCAGTGAACATCCAGGTCGATCCAGGATGGATGCTCTAACATGCTAGGACCATGTTCAAAAATGTTTTCGGCTCAGGGTTTCTGGTCAGAACAGCTCATGTGATTCTGACATGGGTCATAACGTTGATACTCTTCCTACATGATACAGGTAAGCACTCTACATGATAACACTCCATAGCAGTATATTATGTATATCTATGGAAGCCCATTTCCGCCAGTGTGATAAAAAAAAAGAACAAACAACAAAAACTAATCTGTATCTCAGAATAATAACTGGGATACTAACAGTTAAGTCATTTTTTCTTGAGAAATGAAGTCACTGTTCTGAGATACTAAGTCTAACTATTATCTATTATCTATATGTTATCATGACTTATAGCTGTAGGCTTAAAGTAATACATAAAATGTGGAATGGAGAAGATAATTCTTGATGTATAATGGCAATAACCATATACATGCTGTTAGCTGTGGAAGAAAGCTATGTTATTCTAGACTTGCATTTAGACCATGATGTGTTTAACCTTGTCTGGGCAGGAGCTAGCATTTAGGGTCAGAAGGTTCTAGGTTACTGAGTTAAAACGTAGAAATGTTAAACCATCTGTGCTTTGTGTTTGGGTTGAAGAGCTGAGGAAGCAGGAGGAGACAGGCCAGCTCGTCCAGCCTGTGCTCTTCGTCCTGCTGGTGCTGGTGTCGGTGCTGCTGTATTTCGCTGTCTCTCTAATGGACCCTGGCTTCATCTTGTCTGATGACAGCGATTTACAGGTGATTCATAACTTATGTATATTTTTATCAATTAGCATAGGTTGGTAAAGAAGCAGCAATAATGGTTTAACAGGGACTGGGGGCCTATATGATCACATGTGGAAAGGCAGTTAAGTAGATGTTGTTGAGTATTCAGATCTTTTACTTAAGTAAAAGTAGTAGTCCCACAATGTATACTCAAACTTACAAGAATAATTCCTGAATTCCAATATTAAGTAGTAAAGTAAAAGTACTCTCTATGTGGCTAAGATGGATTCTGTTGTTTTTACATTATTATATATATTATGTTATAGATTATCATTATTGGTGCAGTAACATGGAGATCATTTTATTCATTTGTATACTGTTGGGTGGTTTATTTTACTATATAACAATGCATTGGATTTTTTGGTGCTCATGTTTTTTAAAATCTGTAACTACAGGTACCTGATTAATGTAGGGGAGTAAAACGTACAATGTTTCTCTCTGAAATGTAGTGGAGTGGAAGTATAAAGTAGGGAAAATGAAAGTACAAGTAACTCAGAATTGTACTTGAGTATAGTGCTTGAGTAAATGTACTCTCCACCACTGGCTGCTGGTTGAAAAACATGTGGCACACTTGTTTATATGAATCTCTGCAATCATTTTCTCAACCAAACACAAAATATAGTCTGATTTGTTGTGTTTAGCTATTTCCTTCATTAGTTTAAGAGACTGGCTCCCTGACCTGAGAAACACTTATTGATTTCAGCTGACAGTATCTCTCACTGCTTCCTCCTGGCATTGCAGATGTATTGTGTTGCAGCTCAGGTGATGCATGAATTTGATGCATCCCTGTTTTGCAGTCAGTGTGTCAGGGAAGCCACTTAAAGGTCTCCTGCCAGAAATGTAATATAATATTTGTAGGCAGGGGTGGCAAAAGTACACATATTCTTTACTCAAGGATAAGTACAGATACTTGTGTAAAAAAAGAAGTACTGATTCAACTACTTTACTCAAGTGAAAGTGAAAAAGTACAGGCTCTGAAATGTACTCAAAGTACTCTCTTGGTTTCTCTGAAGGACATGTCTACCAGCTAACTGAAACTTCAAACAGGCGTCAAGCATCCGTCATCTTGTTACGTTGTTATGTTATGTTGTTATTGTAATGTCATGTGTGTTATGCAACAGTCTTAATAATGGGAAGGCGTGCAATGATGGGGTTCCCCTCAAATGCAGTAAAAATAAAGTAACAAGCCTGTTTTAAAAATGTAAAGAGTAGAAAGATATTTGTGTAAAAACATAGGGGGTAAAAGTACTTCCGTACAGTAAATATGTATTTGTACTTTGTTAGTTCATAGGTATGTTTCCATTAGTGTACAATGACCTGACAATAAGAATCGTTGTGTTTTTGTTACCTTAGAGTGAGATGCAGGGTTTCCCGCAGGAAATGTGTTAGTCAAGGTGAAACGGGCAGTGGCTTCCCTCTCTGATCAGTTTATCTCCTGTGTTGTGCCAGTTCACACTGGGAGTGACCGAGGAGCAGCAGGACATGATCCCACCCACCACCAAGTCCCTTCGACAGCGCCGCTGTGGCCACTGCCTGCTGCAGGTAAGCTGCCCACCATGTCAGCGCACCGCTGTGCACTATTTCGGGATGAAAGCACTTCCACATGGGTTGACACAGTTAGATAAAAGATGGTGTGATTTATGAAGCAACAGTGTGAACTCTGTTGGCATAGTTATCCCTGTGTGTGTTGTTGTGGGTTATTTCGTTTTTTTTTATTTTTAAAAACATTTTTGTGGTAGATTTCTGTGCTTGATTTCATACTTTCAACATGCTGTGGTTGAGTGTGAAAGTTCACTTTTGACCTAGGAAACAGGATTCCTACTCAGTATGTTAAAGTATGGAATTTGACAATTCTTCCAGGTCTGGATGAGTATGGAAAAAAGAAAAGAGACTAGCCTATTGCGCCTATTTTGTTTTCTAATTTATAAAATTTTGAGTTTCTAAAAATACACAAGGAAGAAGGACTGGGATAGTTCTCCAATTTGACTGTCAAAAGTCAAATAATAATATTGCCAGACAGAGGCTTTCAACCCAGACAATATACGATCTGTAGAACATTAGATATAGCAGAAGACCTTGAGTTAAGATTTCTTCTTAGCCTGCGGGATTGATTGATTGATTGATTGATTGATTGATTGATTGATTGATGGAGCGTCTGTGGACACAGTGTTTGTAGTTTGTCATCTCTCTGTGGCAGCTCTGAGGCTGAAATGTGACACTTGAAGTTCTCCGGTACTTCCCTCAGTGGTATAGAATAACAGATGGGTTGCTAAGCAGCACAGCTCTATGTTACACAACTGTAGCACCTCAAGTGAACACTGAACATCATATGATACAGGAGCAGTCAGGGCTCTGTGCACAGCAGCATACAGGGCTGGATGTCTGTAACGTCCAACTCAAGTTGAACCCTACAATGAAAAGTTCAAACACAAGATTGGAAGCTGGTATCACTAGCTGTAGATGGAATGTTTTGTGACGCTGTGTAAGAGTTATTTTCAGTCTTGTTTACACACAGGTCATTATTATTTCACCCTAAACTGAAAGAACTTGTAAAGCCACACACTTCAACAGAAAAGTCTTAACCCAAGGTCCACACACTTTTAACCACATCTCAAAGTCTGTCAAAGGTCTTCACTCTCAACATCAACTTTCAGTCTTAATGGAACCCACAGAGTCCCTGTGTAAAACACTCATCACTCCTTCACTATCAACCAATAATCAACTGTTGTCTCCACACAACACGCAGCTAGGGATAGACTTATCATCATTGTTATTTTTCTAATGTTGTGGTGGATAAAATAAATGGATTGAAAATGCTCTACTCTCGCTCTGATGCAGCCTCCGCTCTCTGTCTGTACTCTCGCTCATTTCCTGATTGGTTACACGCCACAATGTTACACACTGGTAAAAGGAGCTTTAAACTGCTGTGTAAATAAATACATTATCATTTTTTATTTTGTATTAATGATGTGAATCTGCAAAGTAACTAAAGCTATCAAATAAATGTAGTGGATTGAACAGTTCAATATCTGCATAAAGTCAACATTGTTACACTGCACCACTGGTAATTCAAAATCAGGATTTTTACTCCAAATATATATCGGTTGTAAATATCTTATTAGTTTCCATAATAACTGATAGGTATCTGTACTGGCCCTTATCCCAGTGTTTTCTGGAAAGCTCAGACATATTTCCATGTTTTCTTCGCATGCAGCTTTTTCCTCCTCACACCTCCTATATTCCTGTTTTTTTGTTTGTTTTTTGGGTCCAATAGTGGAGCCACAAACAGATACGAGATCTCTCAAGCTCCCTGGATGTTCTGTGACTTAACAGATGGTTAATATGGCTGAGCCCGAGTACTGAGGAGAAAAGCACTGTAACACACACATCATTGGGACATCATGTGGCTCAGTGAAGGTCTCTAGCCTCACAAATCTCATTACAGTTTGGTTTTTTTCCAGGCTGATGAGCAAAATAAGCTATTTTATTCACACCACTGCTCAAAATGAGCTTTACAGAACACTGGACAGGGCTCACTCACATCAAACCTGGTTGTTAATATGTATTCTTCGGGGATAGTCTGATTATAGGTTCAATATTTAGCATTTTTCCCATTATCGGTATTCTTATTTGTTTTTATCCAATTATCAATCAAATAAATGAATTTAAAAATACACCATTTCACTTCGGCTCTGACAGTCTGTAGTCTCGCTCAATGTCCCGCCCACAACACCATCTGATTGGTTACACCTTCACGAGTAATAGCAGAGTAATCATTAAATATTAAAGATAATGTAAAGAAGTTATTTATTACAGCATTTAAGTAAACATATGCTTAAAGTACTGGAATCTTTTTACTTAAAGCTGCAGTGGGTACATTTTATAAAATATAAAAATATAAAAATGACCTTTAATGAAAAGTAGCAATAATGCAAGTAAAAATCCTGCTTTTAAAATCGTACTTAAGTAAAAGTACAAAAGTATAAACATCAAGGTAACCCATTTCAAAATAATATATATTATATGATTGCATTATTATTATTATTATTATTGGTGCATTGATCACTTAATGACTTTATACTAGCTTCATCTATAATAATTCATCATTTATTTGTTACATTTTGTGTTTACAATGTGAATCTCCAAAGTAACTGAAGTTATCTAACAGTGTCTTATTTATGTTTCCTCTAAATACAACAATCTTTATTCCAAGCAGCAGCCAATGAGATCAAAGCACTGCCAGACGTGTCAGCACTGCGTCCGGCGTTACGACCACCACTGCCCGTGGATTGAGAACTGTGTGGGTGAGAGGAACCACCGCTGGTTCGTGCTGTACCTGGCTGTCCAGCTGCTGGTGCTGCTGTGGGGGCTGCACATTGCCTGGTGAGTACGACACTGTCAATCATCCGTGCTGGTAGATCTATCCTACAGCTGCAGGCCTCCACCAATGGCCTCTCTCCTGCTCGTTTCCACAGGACAGGTTTCAGCTACGCGCCCACCTGGCAGCTGTGGCTGCGCACCAACGGTATGCTGCTGGCCGTGGCCGTGCTGGTGGCCCTGCTCTCGCTGATCGTGCTGCTCCTGCTCGGCTCCCACCTCTACCTGGTTTCTCTCAACACCACCACGTGGGAGTTCATGTCGCGCCACCGCATCTCCTACCTCAAACACTGCGGCGCCGATGAAAACCCCTTTGACCGCGGCACCTTCCACAACCTGTGGGGTTTCTTCTGTGTGTGGGGCACAGTGGTGTGGGAGCAGGTGTACTTCAGGGAGGGCAGCGACCAAGTCTAAGAACACATGACAAGCACTAACAGACTATAGACTGGATTTCACTCACGGACAAGCTTTCTGGATTCGGGGATCACACATTGACCACAAAGTTGGGAGATCAGCTATCCTTGTGTGCAGTTTACCTTTATAGAGGCTGTTGTGCCATAACTCTGCAGCATTCCCCTCTAACATCTCTCCTTTCAGCACTGCAGTGGATTGCTTGCTTGTGTTGTCTTGTTGCGTTGTCGCAGTCCACATTTCCGGCTTCCCTCCTCTCTCCAAGCAGCTGCCAACAGACTGAAAGTTGTCTCCAGAATAAGGTACCTAACTGCTGGTGACCACCTCTACATGGACAACAGCTACGTAGCCCTTATTCTAACTATAGATCTATTCCACAGCAGCCATATCGACATTAAATAGTAGGGTAAACACAATGATACTAATTACAGTTGGTCCATTCAGGTCAGATAGTCAGGGTGCTGCTGTTGTGCATGCTGACCCACTGGAAAGGCTCTGTTACACGCGTATCATTGTTTACCATTTCCCTAAGACAGGAACTAGGGCTCTGAGTGAAGCTAGTCATAAAACCCAGTTGTTTACACACCCACGTCCCACTTGACTCCTGCCTCCTCCACTGAATCATTTATGTGGGCAGTAATTACTCGTTTGAAGTGACACATGGTACACCTGACTGATGGACTGTTAATTAACCCTGAAGTTTACTCTTAATGAATATTGCATAAACATCTGATTCAAATATACTTGTTTTAGGTGCATGTGTAGACAATCCAGGTCTGTGGTTGGGTTCTCTCTGCACTCACTGGAGGTAGACCCTGATTAACAAGTTTGGTTTTTAATATTGTACACTTGTCATTTTTAGTGTAGAAAGTTTCATTCTGTGCTTGTTTCATGTGCTACATTTCTGTAATTGTCATATTTATTCTGCACAGAGGTTTTACAGGGTCCACTTGCTTCAACAGCTTTTGTCTGAACAAAACTGTTAGTTGAAGTGAGAGAACAAATTACAATCATTTTTTGCTAATATTAAAATATGAATATTTTGAGATATGGTGTGAAAACTGTACTGTATTGTTCCCAGCATTTAATCCAACCACGATGTACAGGATGCTTTGACTTTCTGTGGACAGCATTTCAAGCTATTTTATATTGTACATCATTTTTAAACTATTTTGAAGCAGATTCTGTCTTTAGAGTTTTGTACGACTGTTTTAACGGAGTGACTGGAGGAATACTGCGGAACAGTAGCTAAGAGTTAGTAGAGAGCTGTGAGTGCAATACATTGTTTGGTATCACCATTTCAGCTTTTCCTTGTGCAATAGTAACCTTGTAAGACAGCAATAAATGTGGTGTTGGATGAAATGCAGACTGCCTCCAGCTGGACTGTCAGTGAGAGCTCTGGTTTATATGAATTAACATTTAATTCATGTTGTGTACTTCTGAATTATATGCAATACTGTCATGCAATGTTTTTTTACTACTTTGAAATGACTGTATACATCAATAAATCAATGTTTCATGAAGAGTTTCCTGGTCCAAGTCCAGCAGATATACATTTATTCAATAATATTTTCCTTCATGTAATTTATACCTAACATACAGGCTGGTGTGTTCGATATAAGCATCATCTTCATGATGGTATTATTTTAAGAATCCAAATTCAAAATTATATTAACAATTTGGCTATTTTCATTATATTACATTATTTTTATAAAAATTACCTTTTGTCATATTTTCGCTATATCCTGACAGTAGTACATGAAACAGATAATCTGTGAAAAAAAATCAGGGTCCTCTGACTCCTCCTAGTGCTACTAATGAGATTTTCAAGAATCCACGGGGCCTGAATAAAATAACCAATCAGAGCTGAGAAAGATAGAAGGATGCTGACTGGTTTTTGCTCTGGCCCGGTGGATACTGGTAAGTGCCATTAGCAGCACTAGGTGGAGCCAAAGAAACCTGATTTTTTCACAGATTATCTGTCTCATGTACTACTGTCGGGATATAGTGAAAGTTTCAGCGAATGTGACAAAAAGTTATTTTAATAAACATTCAAAGCTTTCAATTCTCTTCGTTAAGATCACATATTTATAATTTAGTACTTTGAATAAGAGGGCAGTGCTGCTGTTTGGAACACCACTGGCACATTGTCCATTTGTAAAAAAAATAATTCACAAGCAAAAACCCATTATTGCACTGGTGACATATTTCATATAGTGTAAACAGTTAAATGTTAACCCATTACTGCTTAATGATTCAAAATCTATTTGGCAGAGACAAAACATTAAAAAGATTTTGTAGTGTGTGGCAGTAAGCAGGCCAGAGATGGGAACGTGGAACTGTGTGGACATAAAAAAGGCAGGACTGTTAGTTTCTCAGCTTCTGTTGAATCATAAGAGCGTTAAGGCAAATAAAAGTCGGTATAAACAGGAGCTGCCTGTCACAGCGACGTGGCAGGACAAAGGCTTAAATCCCTTTTGGTCAACTCATGAAAGAGAAGTCAAAATCCACAAAGATTTCTTGCTGCTCGGCAGTGAGGATGCAGGTTGTTCGTGGGAGGGTGAGGACTGGCTTGAGGTGGGTGAACTCCTCGTCAAAGTTGCTGACGTCCTTTGGCGCCCTGATGACCGGCAAGAAAGGAGGTTTTACCTTTTTGGCCAGGAGAGCATCCCAGTCCACGCTCTGTTAATGAACAGGAGACACTGGGAGGTTACACACACAAATATGGTCAAACAGGGAAAAGCTGCCATTATGGATTCAATATGATTCAATCTGGTGTACAATAAATATATATTTCACTTGTTCATAATGTAATAACATCTATTTTGCAGCAGCCATCTTTAATGTGACCATTGGAGCTGGTGATTGTTGGAACAGTGGAAAGACTAACAAAGACGGTTTTGGTGAGTTTTATTTTGTTTTTGTCCACTTTGAATGAAGTTACGATGTTACGATGCTCTACAACGTAAAATTCGAGTTTTTGTCTCTGGAGTCTGGTGGAGAGTGATAGCGATAATACGGCTGTTTCTGGATAAACTAAAGGTCTATCTCTGTAGGGATCCTTTCCATAATGCTCTCAAACACTGAGAATAACAATCTGAGCTGGTCAGTGGCAAAAACAACTACGTTAATGGACTGCTGAGACGAGAAAATTTGTCCCCAAGATTTTGCGTGTTCTAACTGTCTGCTAGGTAAAATGACTGATTTTGTCAATGGAGTCTGGTCAGTTATAGTGGCCGTTGTTTTAGTTTGATATGCTGGTGCTCTAATGTGACATCTAGTGGCAGTGAATTTTGTATATTTAACCTTTAAAGGCAAAAATAGCATTCTAAATTTTTGTTGAATATTTGGGTCACATGGCCAATAAACTTACTATACAACTCTTGTGAATATTCACCTCCTCTTACTGTACCGTTACTGTTTACAAAAGTAGATATTCTAACTCCCAGTTTGTTATTTATGAATATGAGCTGTCCGGTAAAAGTGTGAAATGTAAATAAATTCCTGAAGGCAGTGGAACTCTGCATGGCAACCCGAGCTCTGCGAGTAAAAAACATCAATGAGAGCTGAATAGAATAGCTGAAGCACAGCTGTTTGTCTTCCTACAGTGTGAGGTGGTCAGTAGTGCCTGGCTCAATAATGACCTGAAAGAATTTGTGTCTTTTGATCTGAGAGGCGTCTTCCTCTCCTCCCCCAAGTCTCATCTCAGGATTTTTCTGCAGCAGCTGAAACACAGTGAGAGCAGTGGAGGGGAGTCAGTACAACGGACACACAACCCTCAGATCATTTAGAGCGCTGTACTTTCATCAAGTGTCCACTGAAATCAGCAGTGTTAACGTTTCAACATTAGAAAGTGATTTTGCTGTGTAAAGAGATCATGAGGATCCATTTGATAGGAGGCCAACCTTTTGAATGAGGGACACAGATTCAGGAGAAAGGAAGCGAGGGTAGCGGACGTCATCATTGACGATGCTGTCAAACACCTCTTCCTCATCATCACCTGGAAAAGGAGACTGAAAGAGAGATCCACACAATCTGTCTGCATTAGGCCTCGACACTGGATAAACACTGGGAGATCTTACCAAACTTTATTCTACTCCCTGAATATTAATAGGACAGGTTCACATTTTTTCAAGACTGTCTTAAAAACAACAATCAGTTTTTATTTGCAATTATTGACCCTTCCTAAGTCCCGCCCCTTTTCGCTCTGTGCTCCAATAACAGCTGAGCAAACCTCGGTCAACTTCCTTCTTTCCTGTACTGTGATTATGCTACGTGCTAGGCTAAAAGATAAGAAAAGTGACATATGTATTGTCACACATCTATTAGTATTAGTCACTTTTATCTTTTAACCACCTTTAACATACAGGACAGAAGGAAGTTGACCAAGGTTCCAAAAGGGCCGAGGCTTAATAGGGGCAATTAGGAATTGTCTATACCGACCACAAAGAGATTCCTCCTAATCCCATTCTTATGCAGCACCCCTTGGCTTTACAGAGCTTCATAGTGAGTTTCAGCCCATTGCTTAGCTGTCCAGCTGCAGCTTTACTGTTTTGGCTCTAAAAACCCTCTGTACACTACCTGCTCAACACCAAACAGCAGGCAGACACAGCTAGAGAATAGCTGTTGAACATAGTGGAGCATTTAGCAGCTAAAGGGAGTTTTCTGGTTGGTGGAGACCAAAAACAGAGCTAAAAGAGAGTGAATACTGGAATGACATTCAATTTTGGTAAATACCTGGCATGTTTATACTGACCTCTCCCACCAGCATCTCATAGATGAGGACCCCCAGCCCCCACCAGTCCACACTGCGGGTGTAGTTGTTGTCGGTCAGCACCTCTGGGGCCAGAAACTCTGGTGTGCCACAGAATGTGGAGGTGCGATCCCCATGGCCCATACCTACACACAGTACAGCCTTAATAGATATCAGTGCAGACACATTAAACAGTGATTCTACATAGGAACTTCAACTGTGATAGAAAATAAGTTACAGTGTGCCATCACAAGAATAGCTGTTCATATTTCAACCACTTCTGTACCAACGAAGATATGGAAATCACTGAAGACTTTATGCCTTTTTACAACTATTTTATTTTAATTTGCCATGTACCAGTGGTGTGGACCACATGAATTGAGTCACATGACTTGAAACGGAGTCACAATTTTGATGATTTAGACTCAACTTGAAAAAATCAAAATGACACCAGTGACTCGTGACATCACTTAGACTTTAGCCTTTTGATTTGAAAACACTTGATTCCTTCCCCCAAGCCCAAATATGAAAAAGTATGTTGTTTACAAAGTGTGCCATGAATCAGTTCATTTCTTAAAACAACACTATTCAGAGCAAGTCAACACTTAATTCCCCAGATCCATTTAGTGTGAACCAATCCAACAGCATCCAACCAGGTTGGAGGAGACAACCATGAAGAACTAACGTCACTGAGTGCCAGTTGGAAAAAATTATACTTCTTATAATAGTTTCATTAGTTCTGTTGTTAAAGTTGAATTACATTTCACAGAGGTGGGACCAAGTCACTGTTTTGCAAGTCACAAGTAGGTCTCAAGTCTTTACACTCAAGTCCCAAGTGCTAAACTTAGAGTTTCGAGTCCTAAACAAGTCATAAAAGACTCTTCAGCAACTGTCATTTAATAGTAATAATAAATGAAAGATGTGTTGTAAGTTGTTGGTATGTCTATTCAATTTAATGTCACATGATAATCACATAATGTCACCAATGTACCATGTAGAAATAAAATAATAATAAAAATAATAGATAAAAAAAACAGATGGTTGCTGTACGAGGACCACAACGCAGCCTGTGTGTACACAAATATTAAGTGTCGACTTGCTGCAAATGAATGGCGTTATGGTTGATTCAGGAAATGTCGAGAAATTACCTGATTTGTGGCACACTAATAACATACTTTTGAATCTTTGGGCTTGGGCAAAGGTATCAAGTATTTTCAAGTCAAAGGTCCAAGTGGAGTCACGAGTCATTGTTGTTGGTGAGTCCAAGTCGAGTTGCAAGTCTTTTAGATTTTGTCGAGTCTAAAAGTGGAATATGACATAAAATTGCAATTTTTTTTTACCTTCTTTGCACAAGCCAAAGTCTGCTATCCTGACAAAACCATCTGCATCCATAAGCAGGTTATCCAGCTTCAGATCCCTGACAGACAAACACAAACCAAATTATGCTACATGCCCACAACATGATGCAAGGTACATTATACTGACCTGTAGAGGAGATAGACTGACCTGTAAACTATTTTGTTTTGGTGGAGAAACTCCAGTCCGAGCAGAACGCACGACGAATAAAACCTTCAATCAGAGAGAAAGAGAAGGAAATAACACTAACATCCTGTACTTTTGCTGCATGTCAGTGGTTTACAGATGTGATGATGTGTGCTAACCGGGTCTGTTTCTCGGTGAAGATGCTGCTGTGAATGTGTGTCATGAGGTCTCCTCCGGGGGAGTAGGCCATCACAAAGCATACGTGGTCTGCGGTCTGGAAGCAGCCGTGCAGGTTCACCAGGAACGGATGTCGTGAGGCGTTGATCACTTCAAATATCCTCTTTTCACAAACAAGGCTGAAAACAAACACACATCATTATAACCATAATGAACTCAATCTCACCTTGATTATCGATTTTTACTCACAACAAAGCTGTGATCAACATGATGAGCACTAATGGGCACTTCTATGAAGTGGCAAAAGACAAAGCTCTCGCCCACAACTGTTTCCACAGGTTTAAATCGTACTAACAATGCCAAGTTATCAGATTTTCATGTGTACAATTGGTGAAATGCTACCAGAGCCAGCTTCATATGATCACTAATGGTATTCTCAGTGAAGACAGGTAACCTAAAAAGAGACTCAGCTTAACTTTCTTAGTGGTAAAGGCCCCTTGTGCAGTCACATATTTGCACATACTACTCTTTAGGAAAACAGCAGGATGGTGGAAAGAAGCACTGACCGAACAATGTTTCTAATGAACCAGCTGGGGTGTTGCTCACCTGTCAACTTCGTCACGTGTCACAATGTCTCCTTTCTTCAGTGCTTTGATGGCATACAGTTTGCCTGACTTCTTATACTCTGCTAGCAGCACCTTGGATCAAGAAGTACAGGAGAAATTAATTGTTTTTTTTAAAACATATGCCATTATTCTTGAGTACAGACTGGAGCTGACAGCAAATGACAAGAGAGAAATGGGGGGCGACATGCAACAAAAGTTCCTGGCCGGACTTGTACTGGAGAAGTAGTGATTGCAGGGTCAGCACCCTTAAAGCTCCAGGTTACCTCTTAAAAAGGTGCTGCAAGTGATATTTCTTTTGTTAGTGTTAAAAAGCTATACATTTCGACAACCATCACTGTGGGTAGCTCAGTCTGTCCTCTCTGCAGTAAACACAGAATACATTTTCTGGTATCCCATTCCCACTTTATCTAATCAGGAGAGAGAACTCCACAAAGAGGCAGTCCTCAAGGGCAGGCAGCAAAATTTCAGTCTGGTGATGTGGGGAGCGGAGACTGTGTGATTAAAAGTGGACGTGGTCTCTGGGACGTCACCCATATGTTTGTAAAGCTCAGTGTGTAGTCGGCTCGGCCCTTGCCATCTTGGCAGTCCTGACTTCACCGGCCCGGCTAATCCAAAAATGGGTAAAAAGGTGGAGCTAAGGCGGGCTGAATGAAGCCTGGTTACTGAAAACAGCCGCCTGTGTCAGCACCCACCTGTCACTCAAAGCAGCCCTGTGTGTGTTTTTACAGGTACGAATGAAGATGAAGAGGAAAAACAAGTTAGAGTAGATACATACCTTTCCAAAGTGACCTCTTCCTAAAACTGAAATGCAGTTAAAGTCTTCCATCTGAAGTCCTTCGTCCGTGCTGCATGAGAATACAAAGGTTTTTTTTCAACTGAAAAATTCCTTACTCATTTTCTAATTGTTTTCTCTGCACTCATAATATGAATACATAAGCTGCCCTGAATGTACATTTCTTCTTTTTTTGGTCTTTTATTGCCTTTTAATTGATAGTGACAGCTGAAGACAGACAGGAAAGGGGGGTAGAGAGAGGGGATTACACGCAGCAAAGGGCGGATTCGAACCCTGGGCCGCTGAAGCAACTCAGGATGGTCGCCAGCTCTACCACGTGAGCTAAGGTGCCACCTGAATGTACATTCTTTATTCACAGAATTTAAAAATGGCACCCAGCTTAGCTAAGAAGCAAGAGACAAACTTTTCTTACTTCAGTACTGTGTTCATTTATATATACACACACAATACAATACAATACAATACAATAAAATACACAATAGCGGGCAGCTGTGGCTCATAGGTAGAGCGCGTCGTCCACTAATCGGAAGGTTGGCAGTTCAAATTGCTATGACTGTGTCTGAATGCTTAGTATCTGTTCTGGTGAGCAGTTGGCACTTTGCATGGCAGCCACTGCCATCAGTGTGTGAATGTGTGTGAATGGGGTGAGTGTGGCATGTAGTGCACAGCGCAGTGGTGGAAAGACTACTCAGTGCTATAATCAGCTATAACATTGTGAGCATAATAACACTGATTATCATGGCTCCTGTCAGTGGGAGGGATATATTAGGCAGCAAGTGAACATTTTATCAGGAAAAATGGGCAGCGTGAGGATTTGAGCGAAGGACCACCAGGGTGCCCAGGCTGCAAAGTTTATTTGTGTATTTATTTTTATGCAGTTGTATCTTATTATAGAGAAACTATATAGGTTTTCATAGATTTCCACATTCCTAATCAGTATGACTTACTGTAAGGGTGGGTGAATTGAGGGTTGTCGCCTGGGCTTGGGACTTTTGTTCTCACCAGGAAACTGGTTCATCAACAGGGTAAACAGACAAAAGACATAAAGTGACACATCACTCAAACACAAAATTTAAAAAAAGAAGAATTTAAACAAAAATGACAGCCTTGATGAAGAAACATCAGGGATGGTACACATATATATATATATATATATATAGCCATATCTTAGCAAAACGCTAACTAACTAGCCAATTAATATATATCTATTGTTAGCTATCTTGTTAACTGGCTAGTGACTGATTAAGATTTGCTAGTTAGTTTGCTAGCATTTTGCTAACATTAGCTTATTTAGATATGATGATGTGTGTGTGTGTGTGTGTGTGTGTGTGTGTGTGTGTGTGTGTGTGTGTGTGTGTTGCTTTTATTATTTAACCATCTTTAATGTAGTTTTCTTTTCAACATAGATTAGCCTAGCACATAGCATATCAAAGTACAGGAAAGGAGGAACCTGACCGGGGTTTCAAAAAGGGTGGGACTTACGAACAGTCAATCCTCTGCCATTAACCTTGTTTTAATCTGTGTATGAGCGTTCTCACTGTTAAAGCATTTGCCACTGAAACAAAACACCAGACTTGCTTACCAATGGAGAGTCTTTAGTGTTCTTTCTGGTGCGATGTGGAGATCTGCCAGGTGGTTCTTCAGTAAAATTTAGATTGACCACAGCAGGTTCTCTGAAAAACCAAGCAGACCCATGACATTGCCACTACTGTGGTTTCAGTGCTGTTTTGCGGCTGTGCTGGTGTTAATATTGTTGACTTGCTTCAGTGATGCACCCTTTCTTTCCTAATCTTAACTGTTAGCTAGTTATATATATATATATATATATATATATATATATATATATATATATATATATATACACATACATACATACATACATACATACATACACACACACACACACACACACACACACACATACATATACGTGCATACATACATTTCTGGAAATAGATCCTCCTAAATGTTACACTCTACCTTTAATGGTCCTTTTCATAACTTCACATACTAGTCCTATACAACCTCTACGTCTTGCTCCTTTTAACTCTGAATGCAGGTCAGTGATAATGTTGCTATCAGCCCTCCACTGAAGTCACATTTTCTCTAGTCTCAGATATAATGAATGGGTAGAAAAATAGCCTCAAGTCACTGTGGAAAGCTCAGCAAAGAAGTTAATAGCTCACTTTTGTAACAGCTCTTTCATAGATGTGACAAAGAGATGTTTCTGGGTCACAGTGTCCACAGACACCACAGAGCCTTACCGTGCTGGAGAAGTGCTGGATGATGTGGAGCCAGTGTTAGGGCCCGCTAATGGAGGGCTCATGGGCTCCAGGGAGCTACAGGGAGGCAGAATGCTCATCATCAAACGTCCCCAAGTGGCAAAGTTCATGTTCATCTGGGCAGCACGCAGGAAGTCCTTCCCTGCGAGGAGGAATGCAGACAAAGAAAGCAGAGATATCAAATCTGAACTACTTTATGTACTGGAAGAAAAACTACTTAAACAGAAACTGTTTGAATTACCTTTCATGTTTCATGTTAACAATGTTAGGCTGACCTTTGCACATAAAAATTTAGCAACCACCACAATTTTAAAAAGGTAAAATTATAGCTTTTGGGAACCCATAATATCTACATCTAAATCCAAACTGAAACCTTAGTGTCAGATACAAGCCAACAACGTCTGGAACAAACAATAAAAAACAATTTATATCAACAAATAAATAACTTGATGTAATGCAATATGAATAACATAATAACACTGATACCTTTTTCTTTGGGGAATATTCTCCTCTGCCTCTGGAGTTTGGAGCGCCGCTCAATGACAGGATTCATAAATGTCACCTGGAAATGAACAGAGGAGCGATTTATTTGGCACCTGTGTCATAGGGAAAAATTCATATTTACTGCTTGGGATTTGAGGCTACTTGGTCCAATAACAACAGAAAACAAAAAAATAAAAAACACCAATTAAAACTTTTCATTTTTTGGAAATTAAGTCAACTCTGGAATGAGAAATGAAGGTACAATATGAAAGTGAGAACCTCGATGAAAAGGATGCCCTGAGGCTCCAGCTGGAGACACATTCCATGTCGGAGGTTATCCAGGAAGTCCTCCAGCCGCAGGAACTTCACCCCACTTAAAGCTCGCCAGTCTCTCCAGTACACAGCAATTTCCAGCTCCCTGGACTTGATCAACACACACAAACATTCATATGTTCACAATCTCATTTAATCAAGTACATTTTTACATTTAGATTTGAATAATAAGAAGAAGATATACTTTATTAATCCCCAATGGGAAATTCTTTGGTAAAAAAGGATGGCTTTATTTTCTGAATTACTGAAAGGAGGGAAAGGATTAAATAAACAGTTGATGGGATTGGCAATAAACAGTTGATGGGATTTAACGAAGCAGTTGGCAAATGAAGCCAACGCGCAAGTGACAAAAGCTGCAGTTCCTCTAAAGGCCACCTGAGGCTGGCTCCAACAGTGAGTCAATCTCCATAAGGCCCCATATTAAAATACTAAACTGAACAACAGAAATAAACATGTTTACAGCCTGGTACAGAAAACACTTTTAGTCTCTATAGACAATTTCCCTGTTCATGACTGTACAGGGGTACATTATTTATATAACTAACCAGTTTAAATTATATTAAGGCTTAAAGGTATGCATAATTAAGAGCATGGCCCTTTATGAGTGACAGGTGGGTGCCATTATAGGTGGCTGTTTTCAGTAACCAGGCTTCATTCAGCCCTCCTCAGCTCCACCCACGCTCCACCTCTTCGCCCATTTTTGGATTAGCCGGGAGCCAGTGGAGTCAGAACTGGCAAGATGGCGACGGCCTACGCCCATTTCAGTTTAAACAGTCTGGATTTAACTCTCTGGCACACTTAAAAAAAATACACTTTCTAAAAATAACTAATGTTGTAAGACCTTTGCAGTGACAAAAAAAATTAGAAACTCGTCGGAAAAATCTTTCCCCTGGTGATTTAATACAGCACTTTAATAAAGTTAGGGGATTTACAAAACACAGATTCAAAAAAGAATGGTAAACTCAAGCAGCCTAGGCTGAGATGCAACCAATGAAATTGGTTTCTTCAATATTATAGAACTGTTTTTACGGGCTGTGTAGCACTTCCCCCATGCCCTGTAAATAAAAATGTGCTGTGGTAGGGGTATTTCAACAACTAAAGCACTTTTGGGGTCTTTCCCTCTTGCCTAAAACTGACCTGAATGTATAAAATCAACTACTTCTCCATTAAAATGTCATGGCACAATAAAGAATGCAATATCAGAAACCAAGTCTTAAGCAGGGATGCTGGGTGTGTGTGGGTAAAGCCAGATTAGAGCAAATGTCAGAGGATTAGCAGTGGGATTACATGAGTAGAGTAGGGACGTTGACAAAGTATTAAAGACATACTTGGCCATTCTGACCCAGTGAGAGACGAGATGTCAAGGCTCTGTGTTACTGTTCATGGGCTGTTAACAGATGTTCACTATTAGGGGTTATTGAGATGACATTTGGCAATAAACTATCTAGCCAACAGTGGTTGGTTAACACCTAACTACACTGGTATAGTGGTACAGGCTATCATTATGAGGAAGAACGCAAGAAACTGTAACTATTGTATTGTTAAATTAGTCTTTTGGTTCCTACATCAGCACACTGAAATATGGAAATCAACAGGCTGTATTGTAGTCTCTTTCAGTATAATGTAGGATAGCCAGTAGTTAACATTTTTCAGTGATTGTGGCCACTTTCCTTCCAGTCTGAGCCTGGTTTTAATGCAGTGAAATGAACTGTAGTCCAGTTAATAACATCCCTATACCCTCCCTATGATCCCTTTAATAAAAAATTCATGTCAGCTTCAGTGACACAGAAATACCTGCATATTTTTTTATATATGGGCCAGAAATGATTATCCAAATGGGATTCTTCCTTGACAACAACATGACAATACAAACTATAGCCTGATCAATACTGGATTTATGAGGCTCATACTGATATCAGTTTTTTAAGCTATGAACAGCATATGCTAATAGCTCTAAGGTTTATATAAACAGCAATGGAAACAAAGGACAACCTTGTCTATCACTGCTTTAACTGCTCTCATACAGTGCTCTGCTGAAAGGAGTTAAATGGGGAGACTCAACATAGAGATCCAGTCTATTCTGTTCTACTAATACTTATACTTTCTACGCATCCAGGGATATTGCAACCAATGGTGCTTTGCACCCTTGTTGTCAATTGATGTTTTGCACCATTTGTTGTAGTTTCCTTATCATTTTACTAAGTGTGTAGGATTTAGTGGCATCTAGCCGTGGAGTTGCAGATTACAACTCTTCACCCTACCCTTTTTAAGCATGTAGGAGTAACTATGGTGGCTGTGAAATGAACAAAAAGCGCAAATGTCGCCGATCTAGATCAAGTGTTTGGTTTGTCCCTTTTTGGCTACTGTAGAAATATTTCACCAAAAATATATTTATTGTAGCTGTGCGATATCGCAGTCAAGGGAAAGTAACTCAGTAATGATGTTCTCATCCTAAAAATGCAGTTTAATTCCATTTGAAAAATGTAGTTCTGGCTCAGTAGTAAATTGAGTTGCTTGTGTAAGTGAAAGCCACTGACCCGTTCCAGTTCGATGCTGAAGCTCTGGCCCCAGGCCTCAGTGCCCAGCTGTCTCCACTGTGTGCGCCCCTCAATCCTGTTGTCCACCTTCAGCACCACGCTTACCTCCGCTGAGGCACAGACACAAAGATCCAGACTGATACAGGCAGTAAACACTGATAAAGGTTGTAACAGGCGTGGAAAATCCTGAACACAAACACTTCAAGTAAGAAATAACATTATTTTCAGGTAGAAAATCCTATTTTTGTAACTTTTACAGTTTCAGTTGATTTCCTTACTAAGACCTATGTCCTGAGAGCTCATGGCAATATTATTATATACAAATATGTTTCTTTTTGGATTTTTAAAAGATTCTTTTTACATTATAGCAAGATATTTGTCATGTTATGATGTATTTTCACATTATTACTAGATACATGAAGAAACTTTTCTTGTAATAACAAATTACTTTATCTTGTTCAAAACATTTGTTGTTATTTCACAAAATCATAGTGCAGGATGTTATTTGTTATCTAGTTATAATGAGAAAATCTGTCATAATAATAAAAAAACAAATATCTTGTTGTGATGTGAATTTAAACTTATAAATAAGCTTGCTTTAATAAGTAGTAGCATAAACTAGGTGTTACCAATGATAATACTTATTAAAATGATACAAATGCTTTGTTCCATTCAGGTCAAACAGAGTCAGGGTGCTGCTTTTGTGCATGTTGGCTCACTGGAAGCAGCTGCTGTGAAAAAGGTCTTGGAGTGTTGACTTACAGGACAGCTCATCAGCCTTGGTTGTCTTGCCATTGGCGCTGCGTCCTGATAGGCCGGCTCTCACCTTCAGAGACTTTCCATCTGAAAAGCTTCCGGGGTTGGCCGAGACACTGGTCACACGACCACGGCCCGGAACAGACTCCAGCAGGTCTTGGCAACCCTTCAAACATACCTCCAACCGGCCTGAAGGAGAACATTTCAGTTATTAATGCAGTTTTGAAAACGCTATTTAAAGTTTAATGGGGAACATTAATTTGCATGAGGATATTACATTACAGAAATCACAAAACGTTGAGGTCTGATGAGATATTTAACAAAGAAACAATAAAAATATATTTTTGAATATATTTGTAACCTGTTAGACTGGCTGGTTTAAAGAAGGAGGAAGAAGATGAAGAAGAAGGTGAGGATGAAACGTTGGATTGCTTCTTTGGCGTGCCATAGAAAGGCAAGGTTCCCAACATGAGTTCCTCCTTAATGGCAGCACATTTGGGATGGTCCTGAGGCAGCTCACTTAAACGTCTCTCCAGGGATAGACGTAACAAATCCACCTTCTGAGATGACTCTTGCATTCGTGCCTGGGCCTGAGAGACATACAAGACTCTTGAAGAGCACATCTTGATTTTATTTTGGGATCATGCCTTTATTAGAGAGTGACAGTAGAGACACAGAAAGGTCTCCAGTCAAATCAGGACTCTTTGACCATAAGGACACCTGCAGGGTGTTTCATTAAATAATGCAACTTGTTTCATAGTCATATTTATTTGTATTGTTTGCATCTTATGACTGCTATCCTCTGAACTGGGATAAGGATAATAAAGATAGAGAGGTAAAGGTTTTCTCACTATGGGATTCTCCTGTTCCATATCATTTCTATTGTTCATATGGAGGTACCTGTATATCCTGTTGAAATGCAAACCTGTAAATACATTACCAAAAACAAAACAGGCTTAATTCAGTAAATTAGGAAACTGATTCATAAAGAAAGGGCAAGTAAGTCTGACCCAAGTTACCATGGAAACGTATCCCTCCAGACAAACCTGGTCTCAATCAGGCTTTTCTGGCTAAGCTTCACCTCAGGCTGAACCAGTGTTACAAATCAGTCTGACAGACTCAAACACTGTTTTCCACGCTGAAGGTTCCTCTTTACTGCTGCACTGTGAATGTGAGTCAGTTTACAATTCACATCTAATTTATCACATTTTGACGGCTGCACCTACTGCATACTTCTGTGTACATACACATGAGGACGAAAATTATTGGCCCCCCCTATAAAAATTCAATTTTTTAAAAAGTATTTCCCAAGGGCTATTAAACATTTTTAATACAGCTTTTTCAAACATCCGAGTTTTATTTTGGATGCTTACATAATTTTACTTTGCACACAGAAACAAAATTATTTCACAAAAACCAAAAACTACCAGGGTCAAAATTATTAGCCCCCCTGATGCTAATAGTCAATTGTGTAACCTTTTTCTTTCAAAATTTTCACATATCCTTCTTTCTTCATGATTCCTTCCACCTCGACGAGATTCCCAGTTCCAGATGCATTGAAGCATCCCCACAGCATAATACTCGCACCACCGTGTTTCACTGTGGGGACGGTGTTCTTTGGGTTATACACCTCTCCCTTCTTTCTCCAAACATAAGCAATGTCTCTATGGCCAAAGGGCTCTAGTGGTTGTCTTGTTTGAGACTACAATTCCCGACTTGGCTAAGTCATTCACTAGTGTCTTGGCAGTTGTTCTGGGGTCTTTAGACACATCTCTCACTAGTTTTCTTTCCAGAGTCTTTGAAATCGCTTCCTACCTCTGCCAGGCTTGTTCTGTACTGTGTGGCTCTCTTTGAATTTCTTGATGATACTTCTCACTCCAGTTCTTGACACTTTGTATATTCTTCTCCTGCTTTGTGAGCATCAACAATTCTTTTTCTCAAGTCTAAACTGATTTCTGTTGTTTTTGGCATGATGCTTTCTCAAGTGACAGCTCAAACCCTTACTGAAGTTTTTATACTGTGTGTAAATTGGGAGATAACCCTCAGTTTTAAATTGATTTTACAAGCTTTGAGCATTACAAAGTTAAAACACATCATTGCACAACAGTGGTTTGTGCTATGGCTCAATAAAAAGGTCAGTTCTGAAGGGGGCTAATCATTTTGACCCTGGTAGTTTTTGGTTTTTGTGAAATAATTTTGTTTCTGTGTGCAAAGTAAAATAATGTAAGCATCTAAAATAAAACTAGGGTGTTTGAAAAAGCTGTGTTAAAAATGCTTTGCTCTGTTTAATAGCACTTGGGAAATACTTTTTAAAAAATTACATTTTCATAGGGGGGCTAATAATTTCGTCCTCATGTGTATCTTTTTCAGTCTAAAATTTCAGCAGTTTTCCAATCAGCAGATGTGTTTTTAAATGAACTGAAAGTGAAATAACACTAATAAACTTTGACCCATCACTGTAACCTCATAGTAAGCAGCATTTTCATCACTCTTTAAAGGGGCAATAGGGAATTTACATAAAAATATATTTTTGTCATATTTGAGTCATATTTGCTGAAACTTTCAGTATGCTATATTATGACTCTTGTTAGCTGCAGCAGTAATGTTTCTTCCGTGTATGCACAGGTCCCAGGTTAATATGTGGTGTGGACTATCCAGCTGGTACCCACCTCTGCAAGTATGCGGCGGTCCTGGATCTTACGCCCACTCAGTTGCCTCACCACGTTTTTGGCGCCTTCTGCTACGGCCGATTCAATCTTCATGTGGTGCATGAGTTCAGCCACCCGCAGCTCCAGAGGACTGATCATCTCCACAGGCAGACCTGAGAGCAGGTGGAGCATCAACAGCAGATTTGAGAACAGATACAGAAAGCACCAGTCTTTTAAGACCTTTGTATCTGAACCATAACATATTTATACAAGCAACAGACATCTGCACCTGACCTCAAAATACAGCATACAACATACACTTCATGATTTCTATTCCTGCAATCATTCCTGATTATTGATTAATACCATGAAATGGATTTGAGGTTGTTTTTTTTGTTGTCAAGTTAGAATCACTTCAAGTGATTTTGATACATTTTCCATTATATCATTTACTTCTCTTACTTGCCTTAAGTTTGCATTCCAAATACAACTAATGATCAGTCTCTTACTGTATATGGGATTTGTCACAGTTACTATTTATAATGTAGGCTGTTAGAGATTATAAAAAGAACGACACATGTATGTGTAGTAAGATTTACCTTGAGAGCCATCCACGTCTCTGGCTTGACTGACTTTGATAATCTGCATACGCAGCAGCTCAATCTTAGTGCGGCTGTCCTGCAGCATTTGCTGGGCTGTAGACAGCATCTTCTTGTCCTGGAAAATAAAATGGACAACTGAATACCATCACATTGCTTCTACTATGGTCGAGGCAGACGACCACCCACCTAGAGCCAAAGGAGCTGTCCTAGGTTTCTGCCTTTTAACAGGCAGTTTTTCCTTGCCCTTGTCTCCAAGTGCTTGCTCATGGTGGTACTGTTGGGTCTCTGTAATTAATGTTATAAAGAGTTCGGTCTAGACCTGCTCTATTTGAAAAGTGTCCTGAGATAACTTCTGTTATGAATTGGTGCTATACAAATAAAATTGAATTGAATTGCTTCTACTATGCTAAATTAACCAATAAAACTGTTAAAACACTCTATAGAAAAGAGTAGTGTCACCTTCATGATAAAAGTGACAAGTAGCAAGTTGTAGTCACAGAAGAGCAAGAGCATCATAGAGACACACTGAGACATCAGACTAGAGAGCTTCTCTCTAGTCTCATTGAGGCTTATGTGGGATGCTGTTAAAATGTAATGCATTTGCATGATAGAGCTGCAACAGTTAGTCGATTAGTTGTCAGCTGCTAATCGACTAACTGTTTTGAGTAATTTCTGAAGAATTTTTTTCCCTCACCTTGGATTTTGGGAAACACCGCCATTTTTCACAAATTTTATTACATATGACATGACATATTTGTTTGGTCCATAAGACCAAACAACTAATCAATTACTTGATAATGAAAATAGTTGTTAGTTGCAGTCCTTGTGCATGAGGTGATATTTAAGAGTAACAATACCTGGGCACAACATTGTGAGTATGTTTTGTTAGTGGTTAGTGGTTCTCTGTAAGGATGGGAATTTTATATTTGACACTAATAAACAATTTACACAGTTATAAAAATGACAGATACTCTGTGGTACAACCTTTCACAGTCAGGTCATCCTGCTGACACTTACACCACATTCAGACTGAAGGCAAAAGTGGCCCAAATCGGATCAGATTTAGACCACTTCCATATGTGGTCCTGAATCAGACCCAGGTCAGATTTTTTTCAATGCGGCCGCATTGGTTGTGTGAACAACCAAGGCAGATTTGATGCGACTCAATCTACATCGACATCGGTCACAATTATGCGCCGGCGAGCGTCATTTTAAAAGGTAATGTGAACAGCCAAACAAAAAATCGGATCTGAGCAAAAAATCCAAATTGAGCATTAAGACTTGCGGTGTGAACGTGGTCAAATAAATCCTCTTTCATTCCTCTCATAGTTCACATCAGGAGCGGAGTCAGACGTTGTAAACATTTGGGGCTTAGCTTACAGCACAGGGAGATTTTATTCCATACAGCAGATATATGCACTTTTTTTTCAAGCCATTTGAGAAAATAGAATGGCCAACCATGATAGTTGCCCAGGAAAAAGATCATCCTCTCTATCTAATTGACCTCCAACTGTCTTCATCATTCTGAAAGCAGAACACAACAAACATAGAGGATGACTAATTTTCATTCCTGCCACCTAAAATAGGCACAAATCGGCTGATGTTATTTTCTTGAAGTTACATAACATAGGTAGGGTAGGAATTTGGCATAAACAGCATTACTTATCCTAGAACCTATTTTTGTTAAACTATTCTGGACTAGAATGAATGAATGTTTAATTGACAGATTTGCTCCATGTGAATCCATATGACATAATACTGTAACAGATGGTCATGTTTCCCCAGTAATAGAACTTTTGCTCCATTGGTTTTTCTGGTCCAGTCAGAGAGACTGAGGGGAAATGACACAAAGTTGATTTTCACACCATAAGTGTAAATGAGAGGTGGGAATGAACAAATGTGGGAACTGTTGGGAGTTCGGTCTAGACCTGCTCTATTTGAAAAGTGTCCTGAGATAACTTTTGTTATGAATTGAACTGAATTGAATTGAGAGCTCCTTTAAGGCAGCACAATACTTTTTGAGGTACCATACATTACATAGGGCGGCTGTGGCTCAGAGGTGTATGAATGAGTTAGTTTCTGTTTGATGGACTTGGCCATCACTGAGTGAATGTGTGTGAAAGGGTGAATGTGGCACATAGTGTAAAGGCGATTTGAGTGGTCGGAAGACTAGAAAGGCACTATACAAGTACAGGTCCATTTACCATTTACATTAGATTACTCTCTGTATCACCTTATTTCTTTCATTCTATTGCAACACTGCCCTTATTTTACATGTTTAGTATAAAAGAAAGATGAAAGAATAGAAATGAATAGCAAGGAGTTTGGGATGTAATTAGAACAGTCAACAGCAGTAGAGTTCATGCTAGTACCATTCTCTTCCCACTGAGAGGACCAGCTCTCTCTGCAGTGTCCCTCCCCTGTCCTTTCCTACACATCAGAGATGCTTTCTGCTGTGGCCAGCAATTTACCACATGAGTCAGTGTCAACTCACTGCTACAGACTGACTAAGAGAGTGTGTGTGTGTGTGTGTGTGTGTGTGTGTGTGTGTGTGTGTGTGTGTGTGTGTGCGTGTGTGCGTACACCTTACCTTGACTGAGCTGTTGGTATAAGTCTGGATCATGTTATCAGCGCCCTGTTTGACTTTGATCTCCATGGTAAGCTGTTTCTTCAGGGTTCTGACTCGACTGGCTAGTGGTGACGTGACCTCTTCCCACTGGCACGACTCTGCTGACTGGTTGTCTTCTTCCTCCAAGCAACCTGCTTCGAAATGATCACATGGTGGGTCAGGCTTTATCTTGGGAAACAATTCTCTGTCATTAGAGTGGGTTTACTGAATTTTTATCGTTGTACCATCTTTCAATTATGGCATACGTTAAAGGACCAGTGTGTAGGATTTAGTGGCATCTATCGGTGAGATTGCACATTGCAACTAACTGAAATCATGTCATTCAATTTAGCATAAAAAAGAAAACTTTGGTGGCCACAAAACTTGTGAAAAACATTTAAACCATGACTAATATCAATTAATTTGTACCATGACACAATCCTGGGGTAGCATTGTCCAAAACATTAAAAATGATATTCAAAGGGGCCTTATTAAACCTTATTATCAAACATGTAATGCAGAGCTTTTTTTTGCAGTCTTCTTGGATGCTTCTAACGTTTTTCCGCCATACTCCTATAGTTGCTGTAGCCTACTCCATTGCTACGACTGCTTCTCCCTTCAGGTCTGTCAAACCAATCATTCCTATTTGACGGAAAATACATCACAACTGGTGTACCAGTAGGGATATATCGCCACACACGCCAGATTTAAAAACTCATGCAACTTCCATACTGTGAGAGATTTACCTGCCGTTTACAGGCTTAATCAGCATTATGCAAACTAATTTGGCAAAGGCTTGTATATAACATTAGTTCATTTATATGGAAAAGTCCCACACTGCAGCTTTAAACTAACTACAACTATGGGCTTGCATCACTCATGTATCCAACCAACCAAAAGCAGAGAGAGGTGGGGAAATCACTGTTAAGAAGTGGCTTACAGGGTACCCTGGTAGCTCATCTGGTAACTGGTGCCCCCATATATTGCACCTCTGAATAGCAGTGCCTTGGAATACAATGCATAAACCCAAACTAAAGTAGTCTCAGCATGGTACTTTTTTGTAGTCAGCAGAGTTCAGCGGTTATCAAAAAGCAAGGGTTCAATCTTACGAGAACTTAAATATCCAATGCTTTAGGACCCTGGGAATGAGAGTCAACATCAACTATCTTGAAGCCTCCAATTCATTATATCTTTCTGGGCTCTGATTGGTTCTTTTCATCCTGGCCTGGTGGATTCTTGCAAATGCCATTAGGATCACTAGAACGAGCCAGAGGAACCTGATTTTTTCACAGATTATCTGTCACCTCTACTACTTTCGGTATATAGTAAAAGTTTCAGTAAATATGACAAAAAGTTATTTTATAAAAACTACCTACTGCAGCTTTAATCCCCTTGGAATCATGAATGTCTATATACAGATTTTTGCACCAATCCTTCTTACAATGATTGGACCAACGTTTGACTTTTGACTTCTTTCAAAGTATTTCTGTGTGTTTCTATGTTGGATGGATGATAAGTTCAAGAGTTGCACTCCAGCAGATGATCTGTTTCAGTTACCTGTGGTGGTGTCTTTCTCTGTGGCCATAGACCTGGCGTTGAGCTCATGCAGTTGCCAGTGCAACTTCTCCAGCTTGCGGTTCGAGGCCTTGAGCTGACCCTCTACGTCGGCCGCACTCTTGCGGTTGGTGACGGCCCGCCGCAGCCTCTCAGCTGCCTCCTTGATCTTCAGCTCCCGCTGGATCTCCTGCCTGAGCGTAGTACGGGCATCCTCCAAACGCAGCTGGAACTCTGGGTCCAGAATATCCCCCTCATCCAGACCCTGAAGGTTACCGTTCTGAAGGACATACCATAACTGCTTCAATCTCTCATCGCTCTGCTTATTTGTCTTTATGTATCCCGTTACAAATATTATATCAACACATTATAATCGCCTAAGGCAGGGTTATTCTTGATCTGGGCTTTTGGGATACTGTAGAAACATGGCAGTTCAACATAGCAGAGTCTGTGCGGCATCTGTACATAAAACAGTTCATTCTATGGTAACAAAACCTATGAATATTATATTTCTGCCAATAGATCCTATTTGTTACACACTGGACTACATTAATACAAGAATCATGAATACGTATGTAATTTGCAATAAAAGTACCATCCACCTAGACTCCATGGATTCAAAAGAATGTTAAATTAAAGGTCCAATGTGTAACATTTAGGAGGATCTATTGCCGTAAATGGAATATAATATTCATAGGAATGTTTTCATCAATCATAAATCATTGATTGTTGTGTTTTGGTTACCTTAGAATGAGACCTTTTTATCTACAGATGCTGTGGGTCACCATGTTAAACCACCATGTACAGTACAGTACAGTAGCCCAGAATGGACAAACCCAACACCAGCACTAGATAGGGCCATTCCTGTTTTTCACCTTCACTGTAGTTTCTTCTTCGCGCTTGGTACGGGAGGATGAAGACATTTCTTGTGTTTACCTCTTCCAAATTGTATAAAGTTTTTTTTGTTTTTTTTTCTAACTGTGGACCGCAGACCAAATAAAACAGCTTTTGACCTGATGTATGTTTATAATATAAACTGCTGTACACAAATTAAGAATAGAAATATGGGAACCACTGCTAAGGAAGTAAAGTATTTCAGTTGAACCAAGCTATGACAGTCACCAAGAATGGATCAATAACTATAAATGGCACAATGCCTCCCCCTTGTGGATAAACATATGTTTAGAGTTATACAGTGGCTACAGAATCAGAATCAGATTTATTGCCAGGTAGGTTTTTACACATACGAGGAATTCATCTTGGTGCAGTGGTGCATAAAATATACAGTCACACAAGAATATACAAATCACACAACAATCACACACAAAAAAGTACTTTTAAAATATAAATAAATAAAGATAAGAAAACTGTACAGAAAACGGGAGTGCATTAATGTAATGCATATATACAGGGTGAGTTTCAGCCTCCTCTCAGTGTGTTCTGTCAAGATAAGGGCCGAAAACTAATGATTATTTCCATTATCTGTGATTCTATCAATTGTTCTGTTTTCTGATCTTAATCTTAATCATTTAATCCCATCATAGATTCTGAGAGTCCAGAGACATCTTCAAATGTTCTGTTTAACCGACTGTCCAAATATACTTAATATAAAGTAATGTAAAATACACCAAAGCAAGAAATCTTCACATTTAGCTGGAACCAGAGAATATTTGTCATTTTTGCTTAATTAAAGAGCTGAAATTACTAATAAATCCCCCAAATTGTTGCAGATTATATAAATCAACAAATTGGTCAAGATCCATTCTTTATATCATTAATCATGTTTTGCACCACAGTCTGTAGTAACTCAGATACTTGTGATTTGCTAAATGCAAATTCTCTGCTTTCAGCTTCTCCAATGTGAATATGTTCTGCCTTCTTTAGTCCTCTATGACAATAAACTGAATGTCTTTGGGTTGTGGACAAAACAGGACAATTGAGGACGTTCATCTTGGGCTTTGGGAAACACTGATCAACATTTTTCACAGTTAATCAAAAACATATAATCAATTAATTGAGACGATTGACTTTGAGATTAATTGTTATTAAAAATAATTGTTAGTTGCAGCCCTACTGGATATGTCCAGTCTATCGCAGTGCTGACAAAGAGACAGACACCCATAGACACACTGAGAGGCAGCTTTGTCCAGTTCACCTATCCTGTATGTTATTTAACATATTCAAAGTACATTTGCACACTCAAAACAGAGTTACTTTGGCCATTGAGCTGTATGGAAAGTAAATATGGCCAAGTGCAATCTTCAAATCACAGAAGCAGCAGCTTTTGTTAAAGGTAAAAATGTGTGACAAACAGCATTATAATGAAGTACTGTAGCGCTGTACAGATGCTCTGGTCTACAAATGTTATTCTCCAGATGTAAGAAAACATCCATCCTAATTTGCATTTGGCCTGCAGGCCAGAAGTTGAGTATCACTGTACAGTATCATAGGTGGATGTCCAGCTAATTTCAAACATGAATACAAATATATAAGATATAAATGTATATTGCTACTTACACTATCACTTTCCATTCATCTTACTATATCACCTACTCACATTCACCACCCACCAGTTCTTTATAAGGCTTTATAAATGTTATTCCATACCTCAATGAAATGCTTTGTTTTTGTATTAGTTTGGAGAACAATTAGTTGATTAGTCTATGGAAAGAAAATGTATCAGCAATTTATTGTCGATTGATTGTTAAAGTGATACTTCAAGGAAAAGGAAAAAAACAAACTGCATAATTCCTGCTTCTCAATTGCTGCTTTTTTTCTATAATATCTTAAAGCTTTGGACTGTTTGTCAGACAAATTAACAAGTAGGGATGTACAAGTACTCATTAAAACTACTCTGATACTGCACTCGATACCACTTTAAGGCATTGTGACGTTGCGTAACCTCTCATTAGTTGAGCAGGTAGGCGGCAATGTCAGCAGTTTGGAGATATTTTAAACAGCTTTTACAACAATATTAATATCATTTCATTTGTTACAGTCTAAGTGAAGAACACCCGATGATAATAAAACATGTTTCCAAGTCATTGCTAGAACTGTATGGCATTATTGGGCACTCATATTGGTGCTCGGTATCAGCAAGTGCCAAAATGTAAGTACTGAACTTTCGTTTGGTCTTGAAAAAAAAGTGGTTAGGGCTGTGTATTAGCAAGGACCTGGCCATATGATATATTTAACAATACAGGGGTTACGATTCAATATATTATTGCGATAAGATAGCAAATAATAGCCCTCAATGATATTCATAAGGCAGGCTATATCATAGTGAGCAACAACAGATCCAAATTTACATGAAAACATGTCATACAGGAACAATAAACAAATTATTTATTCATGATGTTTCATTCATGACAATATTATTGAATTTGTTTAGGTAAACTTTAAGGCCATGCTTTAGCCTTAAAGCCATTTACCCAACATTAATCATTCCACTCCACCACTGGATACACAGCCCAGATACCTAAACAAACTATGAACCTACACTACATCATTACTCCTCTGCCACTGGGCCTGAGCCTACTTCAACAGCTGCTGAGGCCTTTTGTGTCAGGTATTACTGGTATCTATTTATTTTCTATAGCTTTTATCTACTGTATTACTAATGGGACACACCTCCTGCCAGTCAAAACAACTACACCTTTTTCTGTCCTGGGAAGGGCTGTAATGTCTGGATCCTTTTAAAAGACAATGAACCTTATATCACAGTGACCAATGGATGGCACATCGCTCGAAAATTGTTGCATTTAATTAGGCTAGACCTATGGGAAGTTATACTTTTATTATACTGCTTTGTAATAATGCAAAAATAGCAAATTACTTTTTAAAAATTGTTTAGATGGAAAGTTAGATATAGGCTAAAACTCAACTTAATTAAACTCAAAAGGCACTTCTTTCACCAGGAGAGAGGGCTGCTAAAAACAGTAGCTAAGTAAGCTACATTTTATTAAAATAAAGCCTTTAAAAAGGTAGAGACTGGGTGTTTGCTCGAATAAGAAACTCACTCTACCGACTCTGGAAGAAAGTTAAAGCCATGTGGAAAAGATAGTTTAACTCTTACTATATTTTCTTAATGAAATTGAGTGGTTTCAATAGTTAAGGCTCAGGAAGACGTAGCGTTATCGGTACTTGTCGAACAGCAGAAAGACAGAGGAACTATGAGGAGAACAGCAGAAAGACAGAGGAACTATGAGGAGAACAGCAGAAAGACAGAGGAACTATGAGGAGAACAAGACAAACAGGAAAATCCAGTGCGCCTGCCAATACGGCCACTAGCACTATTTAACCAATCTAAACGTCGGGTAATATTATTTGGCGTAATGTTGGCACCTCATATCTCCACGACAATTTAACTTCACTTGAATAAGACAACCTGCGGCGTTATATTTACCTGTAGTGTTAAACCTGACATGGTGGAACGTCCGTCTGTCAGTCAGTCGTCCGCGCTGGACATTCACACCGCGTCAACGTCCGCTCCGGCTCCCAACGGTCTCCCTCGGGCCAGAAAGTGTGTGAAACGGCTCCAGGAGGAATGGCACTGCTAGCTTAAGTAAACTGACAGCGGCATGTGAAATTCAACGTCTGCTAAAGCCGCTCACGGGCGCTTCGTATTGGTTTTCATCGTTGAAACAAATCTGAGCAAAAGTTTGATTTGAGTTTCAACTGGGACTCGACGCAAAACTGACGTCAGTAGAGCGCGGCCGGATTGGCTGGCAGGCGGATGCGGAAGGAGCCAATCACATGCGATTATTCAGTACACCTGCTGAGGTGATGCGCACACGTAGCCTATCATCTCCTACCATACCTGATTTTTTTATATCTCTATTCTATTTTTAATTTAACGTATATCTATTGTGGTGTGTTGTATCTGGAGCTGCTGTAGTGAGTACATTTCCCCAATGCAGGATCAATAAAGTCTGTCTTATTATCTTATCTTATCTTATCTTATCTTATCTTAATTAACAAACAAACAAAAAACAGAACACAGAGAAAATAGGGGTAAGATAACTGCCGTACCTGATTTATACGCACAGCTCTGAGAGAAATAAACTACAATTTCTAAATCTTTATTTCTGCTTAATCATTAATGAAACCAAACAACATAAATGAAGAACAAAAAGTGAACTGGAAAAACAACTTCTCTGTGAGCCATTTTTAACATAACTGTTTGCTGTAGTAACCTATGGCTGACAGAGGCCTATCTTCATGAGAGAAGCTTTTAGGGGAAAAACACTTCAGCTGCCTACCGCACACAGAGAGTAGGTGGGGCTGGAAATGTTGTCTAAATGTTGTTGTACCGTGGGCATGTCCATGTCATGTAAAATAAAAAGTGTGTTTTCCTCGTTTGCTCCATGAGGTTATACACTGGTAGTTTTCTGCTCCATGTGTAAACATGACTTTGAATGCATCCCTGTTTAACTATGAATGGCAGGTTAAGTAATTGCTGGCCCTTCAGTGATGCACTTGAGCACACATGGTAACAAATCCAGCTGTATATTTGAGAAAACAGAGGTCAAACCGGGGGTCTCTAAGTCAATTATCTGCATTGTACTTTATTTTCTGCAAAATAAGTACAATAAGCCACATTAAAATCCTTATAAAGTCATCATTAAACCTTCCAGAATCTCTGAATATGCAAATGTTGTTCATTTCTAAAGTTTTCCTGCTGAACACAAGATGTCTCCTCCTTCACTGTAAAGTCCATTCTCAGTGGATGAGCACTGGTGGCTTCAGGTTTCTACATCACACTGTACAAACGAACCAAACTATTTGTGATGTCACAAATCCTGCTGGTAGGCCCCGCCCCTTAAAATCTGATTTTCAATGAGCACAGAGAAACTTTCAGCAGATGAATGTGAAAACATCCTTCTACTGTCACACTCTGCACATACATCATTCAAACAGCACACTGTAGGAACAGGAAGAAACTCTGATTTCTGACTGGAGGGGGACTGCATGGCATGACTAAAAGAAGAAGAAGACTTTTGAATAATTTATTTTGCTTTTAGACTCTGAAGCCAAGAAAGAAAATGTGCAAGAATCCACAGGGCCCAAGCGAAAACAACCAATCACAGTCGAGACATATGGAAGGATACTTTAGGTTGGATGTTTGATGATAGTTGCTTGTTGAGTCTCATTTGCAGCAGTCTATTGCATCTATTGGTTGTCTCCGCTCTGGCCTGGCGGATTCTTGTAAATACCATTAGGAGCACTAGGAGGAGCCAGAGGAACCAGATTTTGTAACAAGAAAGTATGTAAAGATTATAGTTTTTTGTACCCTTTCAATGAAAACAGTGTATCTTCAGATGTATTACTTTAGTTTGTGATTTTTTCTTATAGACTGAAGTGTTCCTTTATGGGTTGAGAAAATTCTCATTGTTCTTAAAAACCATCTCTGATTAGCAGGAAAATGCCTTGTCACAAAGCTGAAAAACAAAAAAAAAGTTTATGTTGGTGGACATGATTCTCAGAGGACAGCCATGCTGCAAACATTATGATTTTACAGAATATGATGTATAGTTGTAGATGAAACTACCCAACAGTTCAAATGAGCTGTAGAACATCTACAGCAGCAAAATGCGCACATACACATTAATGCGTAAATATTGATCCAAAACCATCATATATAATAGTAAATCACTGACAGTGAAAAATGTACTGCACAATGACTACTTTTACTTTTGAAACTTTAGGTAGGTTTTGCTTAGAATATTTATATGCTTTTACTTCAGTGTGATTATAAATGCAGGAATTTGACTCATAATAGAGCATTACCAGTGTGGTATTGATAAGTATCTGAATACTTGTTCCACCACTGTTTGTGCGCCAACAGATTTGACTTGTTGTACTGAATAGAGCTTTAAGTTGCAGTACCGCACTCCGGCCAGCTCGGGGCAGTAGAGCATCATAAATATGTTGACCGACCGAGCGCCACAGAGAGAAACAAGCGTGCGAAGCTGCGCTCATTCCTCCTTATCGTGGGCTTGAAGACACGCACCCTATGTAAGGTGGAAGTAACTTTTATCCTCCGGAGAAGAGTTAGAAACCACCCGTTATATACATCTGGTCAGAAGTGTCACGGCAAACGATAACCATGTCGGCCTCATCGGCGAAAGTCAGTAGGAAGGAGAACTCAAATCATGACGGAGCGGACGAGACCTCTGGTAACGTTAAGGAATGGCGGTTATCCTGTCCAACGCCATTTTCATTTGTTTTTCGTCATTTTGTTATTTTTCACTGTAGTTTGTTGTGTGGTATCGAGTTTTAATGGTGCATGTTTATGGATGAGCAGCTTATTTTCCTACAAGCAGGCGCCGGGGTAGAATGCTGCTGTGTTGTAGCAATACAATGTAGCATGCTAACACTTTAGCCAGCGTGAGAGGTTAGCTAGCCATTAGCTTCCATTAGCTACTAACGTTAGTTCCTATGAAGGAGGCCGTGTATTTGCATTGCATAAGCTGTATTATTTGTGCAGTTATTGCTCGTGTGGACCGTTCGCGGGGTTTGCTGTCGCTAGGTATTGATGCGGTCGCGTGCAGCCGCGGAGTCTCCTCGTGCACGTTTGGGACTGTAGCTCCATAAACGAGAGTTTGGACAGATTATTAGCAAGTGCATCCCGTTTCCCATCGGTCCAGAAAGGCCGAGCACCGCTAACGTTCAACTGAAGCATGCTTGCGAGCTTTTGTGTGCGAGTTAGTAGCTGGGCAGAATGTAAACAAGCGCGTTTTATTGGTTTAGGTAGCTTTAATGTCGCTATAATGTGGCAGTATGGATGCTAATACGCGTTTAACATTCGTTCAGAGTCCTAAATGGACATCGCTGTATGTTAATATGAGTGTGAAGCAGATAACATTTCTCAGCGAGACGTCGTTAAGCCTCTCATTCAAACCAGGCCGCCTTTAGCAGCAACAGGAAGCTCCAGACTGCAGGAGGCAGAGGGTCTGTCTGCTATGGATCCACACATACACCAACCAAACACACCACTCCTGGCGTCCCGCGTTATTTAACACACCGTGCATGCAATGGAGAATCTGGCTTCTTCCTTTACTGAAATAATAAGAATACTTTTAAATGATCAAATTATGATCGTTTCCTAAATTAAATGTAATCAATGTAAATGTGTTTTTATACGTGAGACAAGTGAAAGATAATTTATTTCGACTTTATTATTTTAAAAAGGTTGAATTAAGGACTTAGGGAATCGTTTAAACATGAAAATCTGTGTTTGTTTAAGTAACGTTACAGGTTGTTTAAAGCTATCCGTGGCTGCAGGATGTCTGGTTGGTTGTTGGTGTCAAATTTAACACATTCCTTTTAGATTAATATTTAAAATCACACATTTAAAAAACACATAAATTTAATGATCTCTTTTGGCCACATTTCTTTTTAGACTTGGTGATGGGCTTCAGTTATTGAAAAAAGACATGTATTTGAAAAATGTCTGAAGATTTGGAAATAAAACGGTGTAATGACTTCTGATGCCGCCTTTTAGATATTTCTATTTAATGCTTTACTAATGTGCCACAATAATAGAATGTTTTTGAATTCAACTTTCAAAGCAAATATTCATATGTGATTGTTCGGCACACTCTGGCCACCTCATGATTATTTCTGTAGCTCTAGATCCCCGGTAAAGTCATGGTTCATTAAACAGATACAATGAAGTCAATGTGAGGTGCATAGTGGGAAACACCTAATCACGTATTGTAGCAAATAGTTCCAGTCTATATGAACAAACTATTGTCTTCTCAAATAGTGATGTTTGTGTGGCATTTTATGGTGTTTAACTGTCAGACGGTGTAGCCCAACTGATACTGGATTTTTGAGGCATGTCAACTATCAGTATTTGGCAGGTCACATCAGTTATATTATTATGCAATTGACAATTGTTTTTATTTAATATTTTTAAATAGCATTTTCCCAAACAGCCCTACATTTATCTTTTTTAGATTTGTGGCCTAGATATTTATTGAGCTTGATATTTGACTGTAAAAATTAATTTTGTAGTGCTCTTTTGCATGGATGCATGGTATTGGTTGTTTGTCCAGCCAATATGGATAATCCATTCATCTCATGGTCTTTAATGGATAAATTGCACATTTTTGTATTTTAAAAAGAAGTTCTTAACCTGTAGTTTATGCGCACTTGAGGGTTAAGAGAGACTGAGATGTAATTAGCAGGCGAGTTATTCAATAATTTCATAGCTCTGACCTAACCAAATGTAACTGACATCACTGTTGTTAACCGAACCAAAACCCTTCTGACTCTAAAAATGTAAATTTATTTTTTCCACTGAAGTTTATCACAAACAGACTTTGGCTTTTATAGAACATAAAGCATATCACATGTTTTGCATAAGAATTCAATGCAAGTTATTATTGACTGAAACTGTATCTGCCATCATTTAGTTATTGGAATAATACATAGTAACCAAAAGTTCCCATTATAGACTGATTATTTATTGATTGATTTTCCTGGTCAATTAGTAGTTGTTAGATGAAGTCAATAGTTGACTAGTCGTTGAACATTTAATATTAATTTAATTTAGGCCTGTAGCGACGCGTCGATTACGTCGACGTCATATTTTTACGTTGACGCTTCGCCACAGCTCGACACACACATGGGAGACCAAAACATTACAGAATGGAGGACGAAACAGCAACCTCCTCACAGAATTCCCAACAAAGCCCTGCAAAAAGTCCCAATAAAAGAAAGTCCTAAAAAAAACAGCTCGCCCTAAATCATCGTAGGTATGGGAATACTTCAAATTTAGTCCCAAACTTAAAGGTGTCGTTCTTTGCGCTCTTTGCCAAATGGAGTTGGCATACCACACCAGCACAACAGCAATGTGGGAGCATCTGAAACGGAGGCAGCCCATTGTCACTCGTGAAGGAGACAATAACAATGAAGTACTAACGTTGGCTAAATTCATTTCATGTTTGTGTAGTGTGTTGTGTAGCTTGAGCTCTGCGCACTTCGGTGGTGCTAGCTAACTATCTTAGCTCTCCGTGCAGTTTGTCCGTGCTAGGTTAGTAGTGTTAGCGCGTTTGTTGATTTGCAAGTAAGGAGAACTCGAAGTCGGAAGTCCGTTTTAGAAAATGTATTTGAGCATTGAAGAATTAAAGAACATGTACACAGTTCACTGACTCTAAGAGTGAGCGAGTTGCTGCAGCCCACGTCCCAAAAAGAAGTGCCTAACTTACAGGTATACAGAGTTTTGTATGAGAATGTGCTGCTATCTTATTGGTCTAGAAGTGTCGATGGGGAGGAACCCTTGGTTTAGACTTAGCTCCCCCCTGATTGGCCCATCTCGATGTCCGTCCTCTGCTCCTGTCTCCAATCGGAAGGGGTCAGCAACCTGGGGAGGAAGAACCCTGCGCTGCCTCTCCGAACTGTTAACTCCCTTCACAATAAGAGCATGCTGTCGGTTATATTACACCCTGGGTGTGCAGATCTTTAACAACAACAACCTATGTGTAACCAAACCACGCCCTTAATGTGCACACAATTATTCTGTGAGTGAGCACATCATAACACTTATGTTAAGTAGTATAAAAACACTCATTGTTTCTGATATAATACAGCACTTGTATTGCTATTGAAATATTTATCCCTAACAGTAGCTAACGTTAACGTAAGCTAGCTACTGGCGCCTAGACAGCTGTGTTTAGCTAACGTTAGTTATCATCTATTGTTGGCTTGAATGGTAGCTAGCTTAAGGCTGCAGAACTCAGCTATCTATAGTAGCTAACGTTGGCTAACGTGAACTTTAGCTACTAACCTAGCACGAACAAACTGCACAGAGAGCTAAGTTGCGTTGGTTAGCCTAGCACCACCAAAGTGCACAGCTGCTAGATCTAGCTAACGGTAGCAAACAGATTGCAGTAGCTTTTAATGTTATCTGTCTAACAGAAAAATAATCGTTAGATTAATCGTCCAATTAGTCGTTAGATTAGTCGACTAAGCAATAAAATAATCGCCCGATTAATCATTTAATAAATTGTTTACCCCCCAGCCCTAATTTAATTATTTGAACAGCTGCCTGCTAAGTGCTAACAGAAAAAGTGGTAATGATTCTAAATATGTAAGAACAACCTGCAAGGAGACTGAACATTTAGTTCATTTGTTTCAACACAGTTTAACCAAACACTAGAACAAATACTACGGATGATGTACAATGTTACTTTGAAATCAGCTCGCTCCTCTCCCATCCTTGCCAGTGTCCTGGTTGGAGCCGCTGTAAATCACCTGGCCTACTTCAGTCTCAGAAACTGTGTTGTGTTGTTGATAACAAAATGTTTTGTTGTTGTTAGCAGTGGTACGTACCTATTTTTATTCAAAAATCAAATGTTAAAAATGTTTCCATTTCTTTTCAGAAAAAGAGCAACAGGAAGCAATCGAACACATTGATGAAGTACAGAATGAAATTGACAGGTGAGTCTGATCTCAGCTTTGAGCAGTGACAGATGGGTGCACTGAGACAGTTTTCTTATTAACAGTGTTTTCTCTTCTTTCTTTGCAGACTGAACGAACAGGCCAGCGAAGAAATTTTAAAAGTAGAGCAGAAGTACAACAAATTACGCCAGCCATTCTTCCAGAAGCGATCAGAACTCATAGCCAAAATCCCCAACTTCTGGGTCACAACATTCGTCAACCATCCACAAGGTAAACTTGTTATTAAATAAATAAATATTTTGTAGTCTTTATTTTTTTGGTCTGTATTTGTAGAGACCCTGACATCCGTTTCTTTACAACTGGTTCATGCTTTTAAATGTTCTGTTAATGCGTTTCTCATGGCCTGATGAGTGACTAACAGTGTGCGCGCTCTGCCCGTGTCCTGTAGTTTCAGCTCTTCTGGGAGAGGAGGACGAGGAAGCACTTCATTACTTGTCGAGGGTGGAGGTCACCGAGTTCGAGGATATCAAGTCCGGATATAGAATAGATTTTGTAAGTTGTCAGGTTCGCTTTTGTAGTTGTACATTGTAAACATCATACCATACTGTTTCAGACGTGACACAGGTGTATTTCCTCTTCTTTAGTACTTTGACGAGAATCCGTACTTTGAGAACAAAGCCCTCTCCAAAGAGTTCAACGTCAACGAGAGTGGTGATCCTGTTTCCAAATCAACTGAAATCAAATGGAAAGCTGGAAAGGTTTGTTTGTATTTGTTTGTTTGTTTGCTTGCTTGCTTGTATGGGATTTTATGAAAATGTATTCCGTTTTTTTAAAATACAACTACACAGTCTTGTTAACCCAAGAAGTAGGAAAACATTGAATTGAATGAAAAGTCAGCTACATTTTATTTCACTTTAGTGCTACGTCTTCCATTGCACTTCTTACTTTCGCCAGCCCTCCCAGTGTTTGGATTTGTAGATGTTTTTCAGGTTTTTGCATGTGTAACACAGGGTGTTTACGGGTCTTAAAAATCTAAAATCAAATAATCTGAACTTCAGGCCCTACAAAACGAAGTGAATACTAATTTCCCTCCATGTCCATTGCACTTCTTTTGCCAGTATGAAGATGAAATGGGTCTTAAAGAACAATTCCGGTGCAAAATGAAGCTGGGGTTAATAACACATGTGTACCGAGTGGGTCCGTTCTCTGGGATATGTTTTCATTCTAATCGAACGTGACCAGTTTTAGCACAAACCACTAATTACCTTATAACGCTAGTCAACGGGGCACAGAGTAACGTGAAAAGAAAGCTATTTCTATACCACTAACAAGGCTCAAAATAGCACCACACTTACACGGTAGCATAATGAGGGCCCCTACATGTAAACCGAAGCATTGAGAACTTTGTTAGTGTACAGACAGTTTATTAAAAAGATAGTTTAGAACAACAGTAGCGTTCACGTATACAGGCGGGCGCTATCTTTGGAAAACAGTCGCGACCAGAGCAACTCTCTGAGAGAACGGACCAACTCGATACACGTGTTATTAACCCCAGGTTCATTTTGCACCGGAAGTGTCCTTTAAATTGCCTTCATTAAAAAAGTCTATTCTCTTATCAATAATCACGTTCTAACCTTCGAACACATTTTCCTCTCCAGGACCTGACGAAGCGTACGGGCCAGACGCCAAACAAAGCTGGGAAGAAAAGGCAGCATGAGGAGCCAGAGAGCTTCTTTACCTGGTTTACCGACCACTCGGACGCAGGCGCAGACGAACTGGGAGAAGTGATCAAGGACGACATCTGGCCCAACCCGCTGCAGTACTACTTGGTAGGCTCATCACCCTTCACTGTGGTTTCTTCTCCTCTTAGAAAGTGGGCAGACAGAAAACAGCCCTGTGCTAAAACAACACAAGGTGCTTTGTTGGTGGGGGCTTATTGCTTGAGGTACTGTTGATGTGTTAAAATACGATCATTAAGTCCATATCAATGAATTTGAAGGCTTATTAGACACTAAAACATTACAAAGTGACAAGATTTTATAACTGGTAAGTTAGCACAGTGACAGGGTTTACATTACCAGGCTTACAGAGTTATACATCACCAGAGGTGTGTATTCGACATGGCATGAACTTCAGTCGGACTCAAGTCACAAATTTGACTTTAGCCTTTTTGACTTGAAAATAGGTGTTAATGGTATCAGGCCTAGGGATGTTCCTGGCAAATTTCCTTGTTTAAATGGAAATTTAAATTCAGTCTAGTCTAAAAGTGAGAAAACACTGGGGAAAAAAGTTTAAATTGAGCACAATTAATTATTAATGTGGTTACTCATCGCTCTGGCCGGAGTGGTTATACGCCAATTTATTTCTGACCAACTTTATTTTCATTTTCTACTGGATCATAACACTGACAAACTGCTCTGGTCTTGCATGCTGCCATCTTTTTCCCTCTTTCCCCCTTGCTGGTTTAGCTACATCTGAGTGCAGGGAGAAGTGGGTTGCTGTGTGTCTGTGTAACATCTTAGATGCAACAAATAACTAGCGTTGTACAATGCCTACTTTTCTAAAAAATTAATAATAGTTTAACCACCTAATATTTCTCTAACCAACTAGCAACCTTTTTCAACGATTAGTCGACTAAGCACGCACATACCTAGTTGTGGTACTGGTTAATGGTGCTAATATGCCATGAGAGTGCAGTGTCAGCACTACTTTTCTCATGACTCAATTCAAACTCATACTGTTACTAACAGTTGTATTTAGGCACCCTGGCCAGGATCAGGTGGTTAATGTCTGAATGTTCCCAAGGTCCCCGACATGGAGGATGAGGAAGGCGATGCCGATGATGATGACGATGAAGAGGAGGGTCTTGAAGATATCGATGAGGGGGAGGAAGAGGAAGGTGAAGATGAGGACGAGGATGGAGATGGAGAAGATGGAGAGGTAAGATTACTTTAGAAATGCACACAGATTCTGCATTCACATGGATTCAGGAAGACGGTAGATGGCAAACCGGACATCATGTTAGTGTACAAGAGCAGAACGGTAAATTAGGCGAGGCTGGCAGAGAATACTGGCAACAGTAACATAATCTTTTTTCAAAAGTTTAAATCAGTTTTTTTAGCAGCGGCGGCAGGCCTGTCCGAACACCCCCCCACCCCCCACGTCGGCAAACGTTTTACGTATGAAACAGAAGTGACACTTCGCTGCAACACAAACAAATATATTTACAGTTTTAATGTTTCCAGCTGTTTGATATCAGGACGTTGAGCTGAGAACTGACAAGTTGAACGTTGTCCAATTAAAACAGACCCACTGCGGTGGCGTTTTTGGTGGAGCTGTTAGTTTAATAGTCGACTTGGAAGAAAGCGAACGTTTTGACAATAAGCTACATCAACACAACCGTATGTGGAGTTAAAGTGGACAGCCCCAATAACCTCTGAATAGTTCTACTTGTTAAATTGCAATGTGAGCGGCAGCCAACGGGGGTGCATTATGTCGGCAGGATCATTTAAAAGGCAACCGTGACTACATTGTGCGTCTGCCCCATTTCTGATACCGTGGCGGCAGAAATTTAACAGCGGCGGGCCGCCGCTCCAAAATCAACATAGAGGAAACACTGCATTAGGGTTGGGCTGTATGTCACAGTTTTCCAACCGGCCACCGTCAGTTACATGTGAAAATACATGGGCTCTAAAGCTGTAAAAAACAATTGGATAGCAGATATTTGTCCAGTCACCCAACGCTGCCTGCCATTCTGTTAGGACTGTTTTGTTTGTTCTTGTCATACCATCCAGAAGGTGCTTTCCATCAGCCTGAATCCATGTGAATGCAGCATTATCACACTCGTGTTAAATCAGTTATTGTTATCGATGATAAATTGGAAGAAGACACTTTCTGTGTTGTAGAAGTTCTTAAAGACCACTACTTTTTTTCTTTCAGGATGATGGTGACGATGATTAAACATTTCAGCCAACACCTTTTCTGGTCCCTCCCTCTGTGATCATCCTACAACCCACGGGAGCAAAATATTTTGTTTTTGGTTTTTTTTGGGGGGGGTGGGGGGTTTGTAAAAAAAAAAAAAAAAAATCCTGTGTGTCGTTAGCGTGTCCGTCCCCTTCCTCTGCAGCCACGACCTGTCCATAACGCCATGTCTAAAGACCAGCTCCATACACAGCAGGTCTACATTGGGTGCGGGGGGCTGGTGGGGTGTCGCTTTCTTGAAGTCTCACCTGTCATTGTTTCTCTACATCTCCCAAAGACATGCAAAAGAATAAAAAAAAATTTGTAGCATTCTGCACGTCATCCTACGTAGATTTAAAATACGTACAATAGCAATTTCTATGTAAAATATTTCTGTTGAAGTTGTGAGTTCAATAATAAGCCATGGTGCAGTGATAACTTAATCATAGCATCCTTAGCCACTTTTATATATATAAATGTACATTATAATATATCCAGTGGTGGGGGTACTAAGGCTTATTAGAAGTTGCATTTTCCTTTGTGACTTATTGTACTAATGGAACTGATCGAAAGCACCAGCTCGTTCCTTTCAACCATTGTAAATGTTTTTGGGATATACATGTATGTTGGTTGGTAAGACGGTCGTTAATTGTACACAGTTTAATGGGGAGGTGTGGTGGGGGCAGCGGGGCTTTGACACCAACTCTGTTAAAGAAGTTTTCATTATCTTGTTTTTTCAGGCACCCACAACAAAAGTTTGAAATGTACATTTTTTTATAAAACAAAAACAACCTAAAAATCTAATTTTGAGCTTGGCTTAACATTTTGAGATGGGAGAGAGAAAGATTTCTGTAGAGTCCTCTGTGGAGTCTGCAGCGGTTTCTCCTGTTCCGCTGGAATCCTGTTCACATTAAATTAAGTGTACCAGTTGCTTTGTTACAATAAATGTATACATGATGTTTGGAGTAGTTCCATCACATTTCAGCTGCAGTTGTTTGACAAGACTTGCTTGTTTTTTGTTTTTTTCCCCACACTTGGCCAGTTCACAAGTAATAGACTTTTACTAAATCTTGGCCCTTTCAGATCCTTGGTCAGCTTCTGCCTTTCCTGTACTTAGATATGCTATGTGCTAGGCTAATCTGGTGAAAAGGGTTAAGTATGTTAAGTAAAGTAATTTTGAAGTTTGGTTTAAAGATAAGTTACATATGTGCACATGTGTATATTATATTATCAAAACGCTAGCTGGCTAATGTACACCAATTGTTAGCTAGTGTTTTTGCTAACATTAGTTATTAGATGTAACCATCGACACATAAAACATGGATGTCATGCTCCACTTCCTCCCACTGTCCAAAAATGAAGCCAAAATATTCTGGATACTGCCTCTGCCATATTTTGCCATTTGGAGCCAGTCTGAGCAGTTATCAGGGTTGGCATTGAAAGTCCTGCCCTCACGCCTGGTTAACTCAATTGTGACCAGGGCTCAGCTGTCGATCATGATGTGAAACACCTTTTTATAGCTTCAAATAAGTCATTACAACCAAACTTATCAGAAAAATGTACACTTGAACATACAATAAGCACGACAAAAACTACCTAAAATGACAGAAACCATCTTTTTGGGAAAAAGTAGTGTAAGTGTAGGACCATTGTTCTAAAGTTGTAGCACTAGTTTGGCCCAAATGGAGACATATTTACTGAACACATGGCAGAACAGAAACACCAAATTAACTTCGATCGTATGACTCGTAGGGATTAAATCCCTACGAGTCATAGTATAGTAGCCCATCCATTTAGGGTCTACACAACTGCAGATAGATTACATGAGCCACAAAGTCGGAAGACTTTTAATTGAAGCATATGAGAGCAATAAGAATAAAGTAGAATGATGAAGACAGTTGGTCTTTCTACTATGAGGTCCTCGATGCAAAGAGAAACAACCTGAAAAATAGTCTATGGACTCACGTTAGGCTGAACAACACACATGCGCACACACACTTCTCTTGTATGTTAGAGTAGGAGCTGGTGAGTATAAATGTCCCATTATGTAAGTATCTTATCTGACCTTCACAACAGGACCAATGACTTAGAGAAGTGGCATGGTAAAGGGTGTGTAAAAACAGATGATACACATTTAAAGCTGGTCTTCACCACTTCACTGGTCTGACTTTGCACTCTGCATAGAAATAAATACAATATTACATATACTGTTCCTTTAAGTAGTTAAAGTCAGGTTTAACATACTTCAATCACATTCTCTTGATATAAAACATGCCATGTAGTTCTCCCACCAACAGGTGGAGACATATCACACATGGACGGAGGAGATAAATGGACAGCTGCAACCAGGCTTATTGTCACTTGAGGCGAAGTCATTTTTCTATAGGCTTGATACAAAAATAGTTTATTTTTCGTCACATCCGTTATTTATTTAAGTGATTAGATGTTCCATGGTTGCAGTAATGTCACTACAAATACTACATGTAAGCAACAAAGCTTAAAACTCCTTAATAATAATTCACTTGATACAAGAGAAAACAATATTCTCAAGAGAAAACGACATTGAGTTGTAAATAAAAATGTGCTGACAGCTTTGATGGTGTTTGGTGGTCATCCTGAACATGGCTGCTTTGTTCCCAGTGATTTCACTGTATAAACTAATGTGTGCAACAGCTTGTTTGCTGTGCAGAAAAGCAGGACGGCTAATGGGGCTACTGTAAGATCACAATGCCATTCAGGAGACTGGAATAATTAATGACGTTACCGGGTCAAAGAAAAGGAGCCTGCCTCGCCATATTGGCAGCACTGTGACACTGAAGGAGACCACGCCGTGCAGCAACACATTAGCTACTCTCAGGAAGCATTATTTCACAAGCAGAAATGTTATCATTGAACAGAGCGGGCCGCACGTTTGAACCCCACAGTGGACTGCTGGGCCTTTACAGGAAGTGGTGAAGCGTCCACAATCCATTTTATTGACATTACTAAGGTATATCATTAACTATAGTGTAACATATGGTGGAAACAGATAACCAGGCGATGTTAACCTTGTTAATTTTGTTTAATGTTAAATACAATACAATAAAAGGGTCCACATCGACACACTACGGAAAGAAAAGCCAGAATGTTTATCCCGGAAGTGAACACGGGGTTTCTCTCTTGCCTCTGCACAGTCTCTCCGTAACCAAGGTAACGTTAGCTTGGTGAACAATGGCTACAGCGTCAATGCTAGCACAACAGCTAGCTACCTGATGGAGCAAGCTGTCAACCACGTCTGAATGCAGTTAACGCTAATTAAAACGTTTCATGTGAATTATTCAAACGTTCTTTAGTCTCAGCAAAGCACATTTATAAGCATGTTTACAGACGAAGCCCTGGACTCAGTGTGTATTAAGTCTCTGTGGAGGAACTCTCAGCAGTCGGCGCAGGACTCGGTAAGTTTCAGCAACAATGCAAACTTAAGCTCCGTTAGCATAAATCCCAATGTGTGCGTTACTTCTAGTAGTCGAACAATCTACTGTAACAGCATTGTTCCTAACGTAACTGTAGTTAGCTAACGTTAGCTGACATTTCTTTCCCCAAGAGAACAACCAGTAGCTTTAGACTAATGCCAATATGACTTACATTAATACTTATTAATAACATGTGTTCAAGGATAATGCAAACAACGTTACTACAGTTGAAGCATTCACCTAAAACTCACTTTTTAAACCGTTTAAAGGTCCACTGTGTAACATTTAGGAAAACCAATTGAAATAAATGGAACTTAAAATATTTGGCTCCTACAACCCCCACGGATATTAAGTTAAATTCTTCACTATGAAGAAGTTTTCTATTTCTGCCCCATGTGGCAAAACATCTGGTTAATTGTGGAACTCTAAATTGTGATTGGCTGACAGTATGATTAGTAGTAGAAGGGCCTATTTGCTGGTATTTCAGAGAGGCTGCCAGACCAAAGCGGTGCACATTACCGAGGCACAGGTCCAGACTGTGTCGACTACCATCAGCGGCACCCAGACGGAACCACAGTACCAGGTGACAGAGCAGCTCTTCCAACAAAACCACGAGGAGCCGGAGCCACCAGGCCTGAAGGACTTCCTGCAGAGGGTTGAGGACGTGGTCATCAGGGAGCTGGTCAGAAATACAAGGAGTCACGCCTTCGATGGGTTCCAGGTGAACTGGGAAGACCACAGTAATCTGGTGAGGAGGACCAATGATGGACAGCTTTATAAGCCAGAGGGGAATCTGAAAGTTTGTAGTTGTGCCTGATGTCTCGATGTTTGAATATTTTGGAGCAGCTCTTCATGGAGAGTTCTTTGTGTGACACAGTTCCATGTTTGCAGGTTTCTTGCCTCCATTGCCTTCAACATCCCAGCGCTGTAGAGAGGGGTCTTCATGTAACCAGTGTGTCCTGGAGTTGTACAGGTTCAGTTATTGCCTGTGCCTACGGTCGGTATGTTAGTGTTTCACCTGATATATAAAATAACTGAAGAAATCAACAGGAAAGTGTTTCCTGTCCTGTTGTCGCATGGTTCAGATGTGTGTGTTTCCCTTGGGCAGGATTGACGATGGAGACTGGAACACCGAGAGGTCTTACGTCTGTACGTGGAACCTGGACCGGCGAGGCCTGAACCCCAAACAAGCTGACCTGGTCGTAGATGTTCCCACTGCGGTCACTGCCCTGTGCTGCCACCCCCAGCAGCCCGCTCTCATTGCAGGTACACCGCCAGGCTGTGCCTTCACATCATCAGCGGAGAACACACAGACTCTGGTCAAACACAACTATCTCACCTGAATGGCAGAGTTTCAAAACTACTAAAACCTGCTGGCAACCTGAGGAACAGAGGGGATTTTTTATCTGGCAGCAGCTGACATTAGCGGATGTTCTGTAAATGTCCTGTTATCTGAGCCTGGCTCTATGGGTCCAAAGCAGAGTGGTACAAGAACACAGCTGCACTTCATTCAGATACAGGTTATCTGTGAGGTCTTAAAAAGTCTTAAATACTTTTGACTGATTTGACAGTTTTCTTAAAATTGATTGCACTAATGAAGTTAAGGTTAATTGTATAAAGTTGCAGTTTTCAGTCTGTGTTTAAATGCGTTTTTGACAAAAATGTGTATTGATCATGCTGTGACTACAAAACCAAACCAACATGGAACTAATACTGATTTTCCTTTATATTCTCCATACCTCTTTTTTTGCCAGTATGGACGTAAAATAGGTCTTTAATTCAATTCAATTCAATTCAGTTTTATTTGTATAGTGCCGAGAGAGAGAGAGAGAGAGAGAGAGAGAGAGAGAGAGAGAGAGAGAGAGAGAGAGAGAGAGACAGAGAGACAGACAGACAGACAGACAGACAGACAGACACAGGTGCACAGCAACAACAGTATTGGTAATGGCAATCTAGCAGGACCATGGCAGGAGGCTCCACCAGGATCGATAAGAACCTGCGAGACGAGAAAACACAAGAACTCCGGGGAAGAAGTGAAGTTAGTAACATGCATTAATGGAACATGAATGAGTGCAGAAAGAGAGAGGAAGAGAGGAGCTCAGTGCACCATGGGAAATCCCCCGATAGTCTAGGCCTATAGCAGCATAACTAAGGGATGGTTCAGGAACTCACCTGATCCAGCCCTAACTATAAGCTTTATTAAAGAGGAATGGCTTAAGCCTACTCTTGAATGTGATGAGGGTGTCTGCCTCCCGAACCACAACTGGAAGCTGGTTCCACAGGAGAGGAGCTTGGTAACTGAAGGCTCTGGCTCCTGTTCTACTTTTAGAGACTATAGGAACCACAAGTAGCCCAGCATTCAGAGAACGTAGTGTTCTAGTGGGGTAATAGGGTACTATGAGCTCTTTAAGATATGAAGGGGCCTGACCATGAAGAGCTTTATAGGTGAGGAGGAGGATTTTAAGTTCTATTCTACATTTTACAGGGAGCCAGTGCAGAGAAGCTAGTACAGGAGAGATGTGATCTCTTTTTCTAGTTCCTGTCAGTACTCGTGCTGCAGCGTTCTGAATTAATTGGAGCGTTTTAATGGACTTATTGGTGCAACCTGATAATAAAGAGTTGCAGTAATCCAGCCTTGAAGTAACAAATGCATGCATTAGTTTTTCTGCATCCGTCTGTGATAGTATGTGTCTAATTTTTGTAATATTACGTAAATGAAAGAAGGCAGTCCTAGAGGTCTGCTTCATGTGGAAGTTAAAAGACAAATCCTGATCAAAGATAATTCCAAGATTCCTGACAGTGGTGCTAGAGGCCAAGTTAATGCCATCTAGAGTAACTATATCTTTAGACAGTGAGTCTCTAAGGTTTTTGGGACCAAGAGTTTAACATCAGAAAATTGCAGCTCATCCAGGATTTTATGTCCTTAAGACATGTTTGTAATTTAGATAATTGATTAATTTCATCGGGCTTGATCGATAGATATAACTGCGTATCATCTGCATAACAGTGAAAGTTAATGGAGTGATTACTAATAATGTTGCCTAAAGGGAGAATATATAGAGTAAATAGTATTGGTCCAAGTACAGGACCTTGTGGAACTCCATGACTAACTGTAGTATTTATTGAAGATTCATCGTTAACATGTACAAACTGCGAACGATCTGATAAATATGACTTAAACCAGCTTAGTGCGGTTCCTTTAATGCCAATTTGATGCTCAAGTCTCCCCAAAAGAATATTATGGTCAATGGTGTCAAATGCAGCACTAAGATTTAATAACACAAGTACAGAGACATGTCCATTGTCAGAAGCAATCAGAAGGTCATTATTAACTTTAACCAGAGCTGTCTCTGTGCTATGATGAACTCTAAATCCTGACTGAAAATCCTCAAATAAACTATTGTTATGTAGAAAGTCACACAACTCTTTGGCGACTACTTTCTCCAGAATCTTAGAGAGGAAGGGGAGGTTAGAGATTGGTCTATAGTTGGCTAAAACCCCTGGGTCAAGAGTGGACTTTTTAAGAAGGGGTTTAATTACAGCTACTTTAAAGGACTGTGGTACATATCCTGATAATAAAGAAAGATTAATCATATCCAGTAAATAAGTGCAGATTAAGGGAACAACTTCTTTAAGCAGCCTAGTTGGGATCGGGTCTAATAGACAGGTTGATGGCTTCGATGAAGAAATGATTGAAGTTAACTGATGAAGATCGATAGCAGAAAAACAGTCTAAATATATATCTAAGTTTACATTAGCAAAAGTCCCTGAACTTGGAGAGCCACTGATAACTGTTGATGGCAGTTGGTGATAAATTTTTTCTCTAATAGTAATAATTTTATTATAAAAGAACCTCATGAAGTCATTGCTACTTAAGTTTATGGGGATATGTGGCTCAATAGAGCTGTGACTCTCTGTCAGCCTGGCTACAGTGCTGAAGAGGAACCTAGGGTTATTCTTATTTTCTTCTATTAGTACTGAATAATAGGCTCCTCTGGCATTACGGAGTGCCTTTCTATAAGTTTTAAGATTGTCTTGCCACATTGAGTGATATTCTGATAATTTGGAAGAGTGCCATTTCCTTTCAGATTTTCTAGCTATTTGTTTTAACTGGCGGGTTTGGCGGTTATACCAAGGTGCTAGTCTCCTATGTTTTAATAATTTCCTTTTTATAGGAGCGATAGAGTCTAATGTTGGTCGTAGTGAGCCTGTAGCACTATCGACAAGATTATCAATTTCAGAGGGACCAAAGTTATTATAGGACTCTGTTAAATTCAGACATGGCATTGAATTAAACACTGAAGGAATCTCCTCCTTAAATTTAGCTACAGCACTGTCAGATAGACATCTGCTGTAGGAAGTTTTGCCTAATGGCTTATAATCTAATAGTATGAATTCAAAAGTTATTAAATAATGGTCAGATAGGAAAGGATTATGTGGGAATAATTGCATTCATAATGGTCCTAAAATGTCTTAAATGTAACCTGCAGAAACCCTGCAGCTAGCTAATGAGCTCATGTCAGTCAGAATGGTAGAAATGGAAAAACCTCCGGTTGTTCTTGTGCAGGGTTCCCATGTCCTAAAAAACCTAGAAATTTTGAGACTAGTTTTCCAGTCATGAAAACTTGGAATTGGATGAAAATGACCAAATATCCCGGAAATGAACTATGTTGTCCTGGAAAGGTTTGATTGTATTTTAACCCCTCAATCAGATCCGTGATCAGAGATCAGAGCTGTTCACGCCTCTTACAGCAAACATTTAGCATCAAGTCTATTTTTGAAATGCTGTAAATGGTCATATCTAAACTCACACAGCCTATTGACGATCAGATTTACATTTGTTAGCCCCACTGATAGCCTTGTAGTCCCACCAGATCAATAGCCTAAAGTAGCTGTCTATGTTGTGTTATATTTGTTGTCATTCATTAACCGAACCAGTGCAATCACATACAAACTACTGTGTGTGCTGCTGTGGCTGCAGGGGGTCTGTACAGTGGAGAGGTGGTGGTCTGGGACACCAGTCGGACTCAGGACTCGACGCTGGTTCAAACCGGGATGTCGGCGGACAGCCACAGAGAGCCTGTTTATCAGGTGAGTCGCCACAGTCTGTCTCTGTCAGCACAGCCCTCCCCTGACACCATACTGGGTCTGTTTGACTGTGGAGCTCACAGCTCCAGTCCAGTCTACTGTTGTTTTGTAGGGGGGAAGAAGAATAAAGAACACTTCAACAAGATGAACTGACAGAGCCATACTGTACTGATTGGTGGATTAAAAGACACTATGTCCTCTCTCTCTGTGTGTGTGTGTGTGTGTGTGTGTGTGTGTGTGTAGGTTGCCTGGGTGCCCCTGCAGAAGAAAGGAGAGTTTGGGGTGCTCAGTGCCAGTTCAGGAGGAAAGGTGCTGCTATGGACGGTGGACTCTGACCAGGGCAGATTGGTCCTGAGCGCTGCCTACGCTTTAGTACGACAGCAGGTTCCCCACAGCAGCAGCATCAGCTATAAGGTCAGTCTCACACTGAAACCGAACTGAACTGAGAGCAGGCAGAAAGCAGCACTGTGTTCACTGTCCCAATCCCCACCATTATGTATCACAGCCTGCGTGTCTACATTGAATTTAGTTATTATTAAAATCAAAATGTACAGGATGAAACAGAATAATCCAAAGTCAGATTCACTCGCTGTTTTACTTATCTGTAGAAATAAAATATAAATGTAATGCAGGAACCTGGTTGACTGCAAGGAACAAAAGCCAGTTTTTAGATGCTCCTTTATGTTAGATTTCTTTTTAAACCATATCAGTAAGATGGCTGTAGGAATGAGAGTGTCAAGTGCTCCTGTGTGCTGCAGAGTGAAAACGTGTAGTTTATGTGTTGCCCACAGGCCCGAGGCAGCAGCACTGTGGGTGTCACCTCCCTGGCTCTGTCTCCCTGGGACCCCGACACCTTCCTGGTGGGCTCTGAGGGCGGCCTGCTGCTCAGATGCTCCTTCTCCTCCCAGAAGCCGGCTGCAGCGCCCTCAGAAGGCCAGAGTGTGACACCGAGGGCCCCAGCTGTCTTCTCGTTCAGGCCCCGCAGCGGCCCTGTCCACTCCATACACTGCTCCCCTTTCCACAGGTCACAGCTCAGCTCACCAACCAAACCCACCATCATCACTGACAGGTGACTCAATCGTCCTGACTCATGTCTCGTGTCGTCTGCAGGAACGTGTTTGTGAGTGCAGGGACAGACGGGCTGGCCCACCTCCACTCTCTGCTGCAGGCCGACCCGCTGCTCTCACTCAGGGTCTCAGACTCGTACGTGTTTCAGGTGGAGTGGTCTCCAACCAGACCGCTGGTCTTTGCTGCAGCCACTGGACAAGGTAGAGCATAACCTGGTCTAATTAACCTTCAAAATGATCTCTTCATTTCCTGTTAGGCCATGTTTTTATAGGACAATTATGGGCTAAAAGCTGAGTTTATACCTCCTATATCAGATTAAGATCAGGAAGTAGACCTGCTCTCCAAATTGGAGTTGGTGACATCAGCCAGTCTATCTTAAGGTCACTCATCAGATCTTTGTCATTGCTCTGATTTCTACCTTTTACAAAATGAAGGATGAGTTATTAATCCGGTAAATAAACAAATACTATTAGTTCTTACAGTACATCGCGATGTGTCATGTAAATGAAGCAATAGTATGTGAATGTATCCTCCCCTCTCTCTCTCTCTCTCTCTCTCTCTCTCAGGTGAGGTGCAGATATTGGACCTGGGCCGCAGGTCTCTGAGGCCGGCAGCCACCATCGAGCAGGGTGCTGCAGGGCGAGCTGCAACTTGTTTGGCCTTCAACCGTCAGAACGCCCACCTCCTGGCGGTTGGGAAAACGGACGGGACAGTCAGCGTTTGGCAGCTGAGTGCAGATTTGACGGAGCAGAGCCCCAGAGAGAGCAGCCAGCTGGAGCAGATAGCCAATCAGGTGGCAGAATGAGACATTAGCCTGCGACAGAAGACTGCTCACTGACTGATTTACGTGAACCGTTTTTAATGCTCATATCTCAAAGACTAAACAATTAAATTGTGGAAGTGAAATAAAAACAGGAGTAGAAGGTTCCAGTTCTAACCAGTAGCGTTTATTAAAGCACACTGCAGTTGTTAAGGTGTTGTTATGACATTATTGGTACTATTAGGTTCTTAAATTCATCGAAAGCACAAGCTAAAACAGCTAAAACAATCACATTCAAATGCAGACAGATCCACTATGCTATGCTAAGTGTAGAGCGAGATAAATATTACAGGTAGTTGTTAATAGTGAGTATTCCTAGTGCCACAGTCATGCAGTTTCAGCCGTGTGTTCGTGTTGAAGTGTGTGAGGGAAAACGCGTCCCGATTGGTCCCTGGTGGGTGGGGGATCAGTTGACGAAGAGCGAGCGGGTGAATTCGACAAAGTCGAAAGCCGATGGCAGCTCGCGGCCCTTGCCGTCGAGGTAGGGCTTCATGTGTGAGAGGCAGTAGTCCGCCTGCTCCTTGGTAAGGTTCTGAAAAGGAGAAGGGGGACAGTTAGACCTCTGGGAAGACTTGACACTCAAAGTGAATCCAGAGAGCGAGCAATGAACACATCTGACCTGGTAGAGCTCTTCTTTAGTGACGTAGGGTTTGTTCTCGGTGCTAAGGGCCCGGAAGGCGCTCTCTATCTCCTCGCTGGACTTAACGTTCTCTGTCTCCCGGCTGATCATGAACGCCATGTATTCCTGCAACGACACGTTGCCATCCCTGCAGACACACAATCCTCACAGTTAGCCAGACAGCCTGCCATACAGCCTACACTGTACATCCCTATTAAAGTCATTTCCTCAACGTGTGACAAACCTGTTGGGATCCACTGTGTCGAGTATGGCCTCAAACTCAGGATCGGGTTCGCCTTCTTCCACCATAGGCAAGTCGTAGCCCAGTGAGCGTAGACACGATTTGAACTCCTGGTGGTTCAGACGACCAGACTTCTCCTTGTCGAAGTGCCTGCAAATGAACAGGTGATGATGAGGATGAGACTTTGTCAGACCTGATAGAAACATGTCACGATGTCATCAGCTCATCTCACTCACTTGAACATCATGCTGAACTCCTTCAGAGCCTCCTCTGTCACTCCAGTGGTGTTCCTGAAAGACAACGAAGGAGGAACGTGAGCAGAGCAGCTCACTGATCTCTCAACACCAACAGCTTACTTATGTTTGCCTACAGTGGACCTTCAGTGTGCCAACTCAGTGCTGTGTTGTTGTGTACCTGGCCTGTATCTGTTGCTCCAGGTTGTGCTGCATCCTCATTCCCAGTTGGTCCAGTTGGTCCCACTGCTGGGCCAGGCCCACTGTGCTGTGCTCTGTGTACTTATTGTCCAAGATCAGTGCTTCCTCCATAGCTGCACCAAGGTCTTCAATCTTCTTCAGCTGGCTGCGCATGGCTCGGATCTCCTGGTGCTTACGCTACACACACACACACAATCACACACAGTACATCAACAAAGCCCTATACCTCAGCTGCTCTTTGACAATACTTGTGCTCCATTAGAGTCCTGGTAACTGATGCTCATCTCTACCAGCAGAAGAGTTCACATGAGGCTTGGGTGGTATGAAGGTAAACCAGGGTATTTACTAATCCTGAAGGTATGATTTTTCAGTACAGTCAAAAACAGACCAGATCTTGGCTCTTCATTTTCATTTATTTTATTAATATTTCATTAATTGCCATAGTGTGTGCGTGGAAAGAATGAGCGTGCCAAGTGAAATTTTCTCGGACTGTGTCTCATGTCGTCCCCCGTGTGTCAAACAAGCTGTGTTCAGTGTATCTCACTCAGTGCAGATTTGCAGGATGATTCTGGGCTCTAAACTAATGCCAGACTGGCTACAAAAACTACGCTGGTTATAACAGAAACAGTATGATACAGCGACTTCTGTCACTAGCAGTCATACACAATATACCCTGGTGAAATGTTAGGAAGGTATGAGAAAAACCAGATACTGCACGAGCCTAGTTAACAACAGTGAGTGATATTTACCTTGGTGGCCTCCAGCTGGGACTCCAGGGTACCAGACTCTTCCACCATACATGACCTGACACCGACACAAACTGATGTTAGCAGGGAAGCAGCACTCACTCTGACACACTGTTAACAAGACATACATCCAGTATTCCCACAGAAACCTTTATGAACTACAATCAAATGTTTCGAGGTGCAAATTAAACTGGCTATTAAGTTTCAATTTAACAAATCTTTAATTTGACAGACTAACTCTGTCCTATGACAGTTGAGCTGCATTCATGCCAAAGATCTACTGGTAACCCAAACCATGCAAGGCTAGGGCTACTGCACACAGGACTGGAAACTGCTGCAGATCATTAGTACTTCATGAATGTGAGTCAGTTTTCTGTTACAGGAGATGAATGGTGCACTGTGAAGTCACTGCACACATGCTGAAAACTAAACCACAATAACTCAATGGGACCAAATTCCACTTAAAGTTGCTTAGAATACTCCTGTACTGTTTAGAAGCCAATAATTTGCAGTTTCCACCCCTGAGGTACACACAGTAAACATGGTGACAACTCTAAGTTTGAGGACCGTGTGGATGTTAGTACAGGAGGAAGGTACTGAGCACGCCAGAGCCCAACATGGTGGTTTTAGACTGAAGTGCATAAGGTCACAAGGGCCTGACGGCACCGCGTGGGTCAGAAAAAGCAAAAGAATATAAGAGCAAGGCTTGAAAAAGGTTGACCTTCCAGAAAGATCATCAGCAACCTGGTACTGATAGACACAGATAACCCGCCGATAGGCTATGCTATTCAAAGAGAGGATGGGGAGGAGGAAGGACCAGAGATTAAACATCAGACAAGAAAATGGAGTGAAAACACAGGGGATTTTCCAGAAAGAAAATCATGTACATCAAGGAGAAACAGAGGGAACATAATGATTTTAGACTGGTCCTATAAGCTTCATCATTTCAACACCCACTTTTAAGATCATCACATCCCACACCCACCCACCCACCCACACACACCCACCCACCCACCCACCCACACACACACACACACACACCCACCCACACACACACACCCACCCACCCACCCACCCACACACACCCACCCACCCACCCACACACACCCACCCACCCACCACACACACCCACTCATATAAACACACGTATAAATAAGAAAAGTGATATTAACCCATCCAGAAGATATGTCCTGATAAGCACAGTAATCCCAAGCATCAGCGTGGAAGCAGTCAAGAGGAACGAGGGAGAAAGAGAGGGGAGGGATGGAGAGAGGAAAAAAGAGAACAAATACACGTTAACAATGACACAGTGCTTAGTGCAAACAACCCTGAAAACAGAAAATGCTAACAGCAGTGTGGACAGCGCTCAATGTTTTGACGCCCTAGCTTTGAAAATGGAGACACGTGTGAATGTTTGTGAGAGAGCAAACATTTCACCAGTAAGCATGCTGAGCTCGTTTACACAAAGACACACACTGCAGAAAGCACCTTCACAGTATGCAAAGCAACGTCTGCAGCATGCCACAAATACCCAGATTTCATACTGGTTTGGAAAAAATCTCCAATATGGATCGGACCAGTCTCCTTGACCTACTGTATCCCACAATGCAAAGCGCTGGGACCATCACAGCAATCACAACAACAAACAAAGAGGAAGTATTGTTTGCAAATGTTGTATATTACAACATGAATAAATCCACTTGTGATCATTTCTGAGGAAATCAATGTGGTAGATTTTGAATATTGGCAATTTTAGGAAAAATGATGGCAAATCATAACCTGTGTCAGCTAGTGTGTTACTCAGGTTGTTAAAAGTATCAATACTCTGATACAATAATAATATGATATAAATACTCTTTGATACCACTTGTTGAAAATAATACAAACATATTACTTGATAGTATGGAAAGTACCCAAACTATAAAAAAAGATCTATCAGATTTTCAACCAAAGGTTGCACAGATTACTCAACGGGGAAGAAAATCAACTGGTCCTCAATGTGCTCAGTGACCAGTACCAGCACTGTGGGAAGGTAGTTTATCTCCTATTTAGTGTGCCTCCTTTTTTTTTTTGCTGTAGTATCGAAAAGAGGTATTTATTATAATGTTTATACACTAGCATTGTATCAAAGTTTAAAAATCTGGTATCATGACAATCTTACTTGTTAAACAGACCCATCTGGGAAGTGGTTGTTGGAACAAGCTCAAACACACATTACATTTGCAGTGAAGTAAAGCGACAAAATGCTGCTGAATCTGGTTCCTTCCAATCGTCAGATAGGCATTACTCATCTGTGTGGTAACTTTGGGCAAATCATAAACATCCACTTTTATAAATGATCTTTTTTGGAGCATGATGGGGTGATACACAGTAGCTGTGGTCTGTCATTAGCCATGCTATTGTTTACTTCCTTTTTCCAAAATCAGAAACGGGCTGAGCCCGGTCTAGCATACTGCAAAATAGATCCATTTAACAGTTTCATACTGCATGCTGCTAAGAAAAATATATGCCAGTGTGTGTGTCAAGACCGTCATGCAACTAAGACATTTTCAGCTTTAAAACATTCATGCTAGGTTGAAATGTTGAACTACATGAAAGAAGAGCTGATGAGTTGAAAGAACATGTGCTCTACCTGGTCTCCTGCAGCCACTGGTGGAAAGCGTTGGCGTGCTGTGCAAACTCCTGACGCAACTTATCGTTTTCCTCCTGCCTCCTCTGCTCCTTCTGCAGCTCCAGCTCCCGCTCCTACACTCACATTCACAGACGGACAGAAAGACACAGCAGCAAGGTAATTTTTACTGAAAACTACTTCCAACCTCTGCAAATCACAATAAATCGTTTATACTTGGTGCTGAATTTTGTGTGAACAAGTATATCATCTTAGATGTGGAGACCTTGATGATCTTCTGCAGGTTCCTCCAGGTTTCTTCCAGGGCCTCCATGGTGAACCAGGTGTAGGGGTTGGACACCACCTGGTAGCTCTTGATCTGCTGGTCCAGCTCGGCCAGCTGGTTGAAGTCGGCCTGAGCCGAGCTCAGTGAAGAGCGGAAGGCTTCATGGGCTTCGC